TCCCAGCATCCACATAGTGGCTCATAACCCATCTATAGTAAGATCTGGTGTGTAGGCAGAATGATATATAAATAATAAACAAATCTTTTAAAAATATTTTAAAAATCTTTTTAGAAAGTTTTATTTCTTTACTATGTATACATTATTCTGTCTGTGTGTACACCTGCAGGCCAGAAGAGGGCATCACATCTCATTATCGATGGTTATGAGCCACCATATGATTGCTGGAAATTGAACTTAGGACCACTGGAAGAGCAGCCAGTGCTCTTTACCTCTGAGCCATCTCTCTAGCCCCTCAATAAATCTTAAAAAAAAAAAAAAAAAGAAAGAAAAGAAATATACCATGGAAAACAGTGAGAGAAATGAGCTTGAAGGAGAGGATTACTGGTGAAACTTGGAGTTAAATCTATTTTTCTACATATATAATTCATTTTTTATGTGTACTGGTGTTATTTTAAGATTAATTTATTTATTATGTATACAGCATTCTGCCTGCAAACTAGAAGAGGGCACCAGATCTCACTGTAGATGAGTTATGAGCCATCATGTGGTTGCTGGGAATTGAACTCAGGACTTTTAGAAGAAAAGCCAGTGCTCTTAACCTCTGAGCCACTTCTCCCGTCCCTTGTACTGGTGTTTGCTTTCATGTATGTCTGTGTGAGGGTGTCAGATCTTGGAGGTTACAGGTGTTTGTGAGCTGCCATGTGGGTGATGGGATTTGAACCCGAGTCCTCTGGAAGAGCAGCTATCACTTTTAACTACTGAGCCATCTCTCCAGCCCCAGAGATAGGTCTCTTGATTCCACATTTCTTGTACTTAAGTGACCTACTGTTGCTCCATCAATCTGCTTTAAGGGATTTCTTTAGGAGCTGGAGGGATAGCTCAGCAATTAAGAGTACTTGTTGCTCTTGCAGAGGCTACAGGTTTGATTCCCAGCATCCACATGGCAGCTCACAGCCCATCTGTAACTCCAGTTCCAGAGGATCCAACACCCTCTTCTGACCTCCTCAGGGACCAGACATGCATGTGGTTCACAGATGTTTATACAAGCAATACATCCATACACATAAAATTAAATTAAAATTAAATAATAAAGAATTTTAGGTGGAAACAGTCTCACTGTTATTCAGGCTCATCCTGAATTTGTGAGCTCAAGAAGTTCTCCTGCTTTGGTCTCTCAAGTAGCTGGAACTAGAGGTATGCACCACCATTCTTAGCTCCATAATAAGGATTCTGAGCTGTATCTATGTTGTTCCTGTATTACTTGGTGCTTTTATTATTTTTGGACAGAACTTTACTATGTACCCCAGGCTGATGTGGAAGTCATGATTTGGCTCAGTCTAGCTTATCCCTCACAATAACCATCGTACCTTAGCTTCCCGAGTCTGGAATCGCAGGCCTGTGCTTATTGGGGGGGAGGGGTTGTTTAAATATTATTTTTAGGGATCTGGAGAAGTAGCTCAGCAGTTAAGAGCACTGGGTGCTCTTGCAGAAGACCAAGGTTCAATTCCCAGCTCTTGGGGAACTACAGTTCTAGGGGATCTGATGTGCTCTTCTGGGATTAGGCACACACAGGTTGAACATTCATCAATAAAAATAGATTTTTAAAAAAAGTTAGTATTTCAAAAGATTTTATTTACTTATTATTTCTCTCTCTCTCTCTCTGTGTGCGTGTGTGTGCCTTTGTGTACTCTGGGAGGCAGAAGAGGGCATCTGGTAACCTCCTTTGTCACTTAAAGGAATAAACTTTGAGTCAGTTTCTCCATGAACCTGCATTCATGATTTCTCAGTTAGGCTGGAGGCCAGGCCCTATGATGCTCCTGTCTTTGCTGGTCTCAGAGCTGTGGTTACAGCCACACACAGAATGCCCAGGTGCTACATGGCTGCTAGGATAGAAACTCCAGTATCATGATTGTACACCAACCAAGCATCTTTGTTTGTTTTGTTTTTCGAGACAGGGCTTCTTTGTGTAGCCTTGGCTGTGCTAGACTCACTTTAGAGACTAGGCTGGCCTCAAACTCACAGAGGAACACCTGCCTCTGCCTCTCAGAGTGCTGGGGTAACAGGCGTGTGCCTCTGCACCCAGCTGCACCAAGCACTCTTAACCATGGTGCCATTTCTCCAACAACATGCTTGGCATTTTACTTATTTGTTTATTTATTTTTAAATTGTGTGTATAGATATGTGTTCGTGTGTGGGTATGTGTATTTGCGTATCTGTGAAATTCAGAACAGGGCATCTGGAATTACATGTTGTGAGCTGCCTGACTTAGGTGCTGGCAACAAACTTAGGCCCTCTGAAAGTGCATTGTGAGCTCTTAACCACTGGCTGAGCCATCTCTCTGGCCCCGTGCTTGTTTTCACTTTTGTTTTTAAATATTATTTATTTTTATTTTATTTTTTACAAAATATGTATTTATTTATGCATACAATGTTCTGTCTGCATGTACACTTGTGCGCCAGAAGAGGGCACCAGATCTCACTATAGAAGGTTGTGAGCCACCATGTGGTTGCTGGGAGTTGAACTCAGGACCTCTAGGAAGAACAGCCAATGCTTTTAACCGCTGAGCCTTCTCTCCAGCCCAGGATTTTTATATAGATGAGTGAATGTTTTACCTGCATATATGTGTCTTCACTGTGTGTTTGCCTGGTGCCAGAGAAACTAGAAGAGGGTGGTGGATCTCTGAGAATTGGGGTTATAGACAATTGTGAGCTGCCATGTGGGTGCTAGTGACTGAACTTAGGAACTCTGTAAAAAGTGCAGGTGCTCTTAACTTCTCAGCCATCGCTTGAACTCCCTGCCCCATGCTTGGCTTTTTATTGGTTTAGTTTTTCTTTTTGCCACTGACCAGGATTGATCCCACTCCCTCATGAATGGTAGGTACTCTTCCAATTATCTACCTCCGTGGCCCTCATTTCTTTTTTGATTGTTGAGAAGGATTCCATTGTATGGTTATGCCACAGTATGTTTATTAACCTACCTGGTGAAAGGAGAAGTACTATTGTAGGTGATGCTAGAGGGCAGTTAAATATTTTCATAATAATTTATTTTAATTTTATGTGCATTGGTGTTCAGCGTGCAGGTATGTCTGTGTGAGGGTGTCAGCTCTTGGGAGTTTTAGACAATTGTGAACTGCCATGTGGGTGCTGAGAATTGAACCCATGACCTCTGGAAGAGCAGTCAGTGCTCTTAACTGCTGAGCCATTTGGCAGTTAAATCTTCAGCCACTGTAAAAACCACAGGGTTTTACGAATACTGTTTATGATGGTTAAATCAGGGGTTGGGTGTGTAGCTCAGTAACAGGGCATTTGCTTTCCATATCTGAGGGCTAGAGAGATGACTCAGCTGTAAAGAGTTCTTGTTGCTCTTGCAGAGGCCCTGGGTTTGGTTTCTAGAACCTACATGGTAGCTCATAGCTGCCTGAAACTCCAGTTCCAGAAGACAGTTCTTCTGTCCTCCATAGGTACCAGGCACACACATGGTGAATAGACATACATGTAGGCAAAACACTCACACACATAAAATAAAACAAATATTTTTAAAAATTAAAAAAAAATTAATACAGAATAGCCAGGAACTCGTAGAGAATCTCTGTCTCAAAATACAAAACAAGGGGCCCAGAGGTTAAGAGCACTGGCTGCTCCTCCAGAGGTCCTGAGTTCAATTCTCAGCAACCACATAGTGGTTCCCAACCATCTATAGTGAGATCTGGTGCCCTTTTCTGGCATGCAGGCACACATGCAAGCAGATTGTTTTATACAGAATAAATAAATCTTTTCAAAAAAACAACCAAATATATACATATTTATGTATGTACATTGTGTATGTGGTATGTATGTTTGTGTGAGTTAGGGCAGGTGTACATACATGTAGAGTCTAAAGGTCAATATGAGGTGTCTTTACACTATCTCTCTCTTTTTGAGAAAGGGTTAGAGCACTGCCTGTACTGGAACTTACTCTGTAGACCAGGGTGGCCTTGAACTCAGAGTGATCAGCCTGCTTGTGTGTAATTAAGGTGCTGTAATTAAGGGCATGCATGCGGTCTGGAGAGATGGCTCACCGGTTAAGGGCGCTGTCTGCTGTTCCGGAGGGTTCAGGTTCAAATCCCTTCACCCACACGGCAGCTCACAACAGTCTGTGACTCCAAGAACACCTTCAAACAAACAGACATACCTGCAGACAAAACACCAAGGCACATAAAATAAAAGTTAAAAACCGCATGCATTCGCCACCACTGCCCGGCCCCTCTACCTCTTAAGTAACTAATTAATTAATACGGCAGAGTCTCTTGCCTGAGCTTCAGGAACCCTTCTTTGTAGGCTGCCTCTGCCTCCCAAGTGCTGGAATTAAAGGCGTGCACTGTCACTTGCCGGCTTCGAAAATATAATTTTAAGGCTAGCTAAAGTCTAAGGTTTACTTCGACTACCAAATGGCTAGGTAGCCTTAGGTAAATCACGTCCTTCATGGTAAACTGTAACACCTTAGTGAGAATCTCCGAAATCCCACCAAGATTCCGAGCCAGAGCTGGTTTCATCATGAGCTGATTCGCCAATAGAGGTATTTTGGCCTTCGCGGCTCGCCGTCTGCGCAGCCTCCGAAGGCAGTCGTAGGCTCCGCCCCCTGCGTTCGGGACGGCGCGAAAACCCAATTGACAAGAACTGCCGGAGCCCCGCGGTCGGTCCTGCGTTCCGTGTGCGCTGTCCACGGCGGCCCGGGGCCCCAGCGCTGACCCTGGAGCGCCCGCCTGAGGGCCACTGGGCACTGCCCGGCCTTCCCCGCGGGGCCCGCGCCCGCTCTTTCTCGACGCCTCTCTCTCAGCCTGGCTCGACCGCCCTGGGCCCAACCTCGCACTCGGGTCGGGCCGGCGGGCGCTAGAGGACCCGAGACGGGCCCCGCGGCCCAAGGCTTGCTCCCCCTGGGCCAGCCGCCTCCATGGCCTCCAGCCATCCTGGGCCGGACCTGTGGAGGTCCTAGGAGCCGGGATTCTAGGAGGCAAGATCATGGTGGGGGTCCTGGCCATGGCGGCGGCTGCAGCTCCCGCTTCCGTGAAGGACTTCGAGATTGAGGTGAGTGAGGATCGAGCTTCGGTCAAGTTCCTCTCTGCTTGCGTTGGGGGGATTGTGGCGTGGGCGTGGCGGGAGTCCTGCTTGCTCCTGGGACGAGAATGGAGGGACGTGAGGACCCACAGCTATAAACGTGTGTGGGCTAGTGTGCCGTGCAAGACCTTTCAGACGCACTGCAATTGCTAGGTATCTTCGGGCTCTCTCTAAGTCACGGTTCGAAAGCCACAGTTCCCGGGTCCCGGAACGTGGAATAACATGTCACCGAGAATTTCAGGGTCACGGTCTTTATTAGTGATGATGTGGAGTTAGAACAGCGAAAAAGATGAAAGCTTTAAAGTTCACCTAGTCCATACAAATAAATTATCTGTCCTAGGAATTCCATTTAGAATGCCACTTAAAGGAATCAGGTGAGATCCTTATGCCCGTCTCTGTGGCACTTTAGGTGTTCTGTATGTACCGTGTTTGAGAGAATGCACTAAGCAGGGGACAGTGCTTAAATGTGGAAAGCATTTCTGAGAAGGAAAAATACACTCAGCAGCCGTAAATGATGTTCTGTGCCAGTAAGTAATAGTGATTAGGATCTTAAAGTACAGGGCTGGTATCTATGCTGATCCTCCTGTCACCATGACAGGCCTGCGCCTCTTCCTAGCTGCTATGGTTTTTATACACCATATCTCACATTCCAACCGATGTGTTCTGGTGCCCTGGAAATGAGCTAAGATGTGTGTTCACTTAAAATTGTAACTCTTAATTTTTAGAACTAAGTAACTTTTTTTTCTACTATAGAATATTTGTTATTTGCGGTGTACTGATCTCAAATTTACCATCCACCTGCCTCAGCCTGCTTCTTCTAGGATCACAGGCATGTGCCATCACACCCAGTTCATGAGTTATATATATATTTTAAATAATTTGCTTTAAGATTTCCATACCAGTAGATGTCACAGCTAGTACGTAAATTTAGATCTGAGTTGAGTTTCTGTTGTGTGGTGCCTCTAATACCATCTCAAAGCTTTATAGATGATAATAATTACTTTCTAATTCACTTATTTCAACGTATGTAATTTTACGTGTATTTTACTCCATTTATCAAAATAGTCAGAATTTGTCCTACTATCGTTTCTTACTTTTGCCTGTTAGTTTGGTATCACCTGTACCACTTTACCGCTTACAAATTCTTTTTTTAAATTATTTTGCTACATTTATTTGTTGTATGTGCAGGGATCAGCATATATGTGAAGGTCTGAGGATAGCTTATGGGAAGAGAAGGCAGGTGAATCTCTGAATTTGAGGCCAACCTAGCCTACAGAGGGAATTTCAGGACAGCCAAAGCTACACAGGTTTTTGAAACGCTGTCTTGAAAAACCAAAAAAATTAAAATAAATTAAAATACATGAGTCTATGGGCGCCATTCTTACTCAAGCCACAACAACATATTTGCTTAATTTAGTGAATTTCCAGGCCAGGTATAAGGGTCTTTATAAGTAGTTTACATTATTTAGACTGTTTGAGTTCTCAACCCACAGTCCAGTCTGACCTGGAACTCACTGTGCAACCTAGGTTCACTGTCGTCCTCCCTGCTCAGCTTCTAAGGTATTAGTACTATGGGTACGAGTCACCATGCCCAACTTCGTTTATACTTAAAGCCCGCAGTACACATAATAACGCAGTGAGAAATAATGGCCTTCTAAGGACAGGCTTAGAAATTTTAATCTAGTAAACTCAGAACACATAGTCAAGAAAACAAATACAGAACACAGAAAATAAGACCAGTTAATTTGTCCTGTGCTACCCCATGTGTTTCGCCTGTTCTCAAAGGCAAACCCACGAAACCTTTGTAAGATACATACATGTACAGCCAAAATGGGATCAGTGTTAGTGAGACAGCAGCTGGATGAGCTCTAGTCAGATTCAAGATGCATCAAAAGTCTGTTTGCTCTGGGGCCACAGAGAGCAGCATTGAATCTACGTGTTGATCCATGTCCAAGTGGAGTCTACTTCTAAAATTGGTTAATTTCTCTAGTTATGACACTGTTTTGTTTCCAGACAATATCTTACAGCCCTGACTGGCCTCAGACTCACCAAGTTCACCTTGAGCTTCTGATCCTCCTGCTTCTATCTCCTCAGTGCTGGGATTGCAGGCATGCATCACCATGCCTGGTGGTGGGGAATCAAATCCCAGGGTTGTGTGCATGCCTAGGCAGTTATTCTACCCAGCCTTAGTTACAATGAAAATGAGGTTTTCCTTGATAGTACCACCTGTTCATTATTTTCCATTTTGAGCCTTATACTTTCTTCCTATCAGCCAGTGTCTTGCTGAGTCTTCATCAGCCATATCTGGGCTCATTATATAACTTGCCTGGGTACAAGTATCATTGCAGACTGCAAGTGATTAATACAAATATGACTATCCTTAGTGTCATAAGCACCTTATGTAAGGGTAATGACTACTGCAGGATGTAGGCGGTGGCTTATGGTTGAAAATTAAAACAGCAAACTTGTGGCAAGTGTTCTTTTGGTGATCTTTCACCATGAGTTCTGTTTGATCCAGTACATTTTAGCATCCTGGGCTTCTTAAGTAAATATTTCTTAGAGATACTTAGACTGGTGCATTTATTTTTAACCAAAAAAAAACCAAAAAACGGTAGAGAAGAATGGATTGTTTGTAGGGTCTCTGTCTGTTTTAGCTTCCACATACTTTTATGTATTCATTATAGCTTCTGTAAGGTGGATAGTGCTCTTCTAAGGTTATAAATAGAGGGTAGGCAGGGTGTGTGCTGGCACAGGCCTTTAGTCTCAGTATTTAAGAGGCAGAGATAGGCAGATCTCTAAGTTCAAGCCCAACAGGGCTGTATAGAAAGATCCTGTCTCAAAAACCAAAATAAAATAAAGCAAAATAATAGAAATTTATGTTTTCTTTTTTCTTTCTCTCTCATTCTTTCTTTTTATTTCTCTCTCTCTCTCTCTCTCTCTCTCTATATATATATATATATATTCTATTTATTTATTTATTTATTTATTTATTTATTTATTTATTTATTTATTTATTTATTTATTCTTGAGGCAGGTTTTCTCTGTGTGAAATCTTGGCTGTCCTGGACTCACTGTGTGGACCAGGCTGGCTGTGAACTCTCAGAGGTCAACCTGCCTCTGCCTCCTGAGCGCTGTGTGCAACCACTGCCTGGCAAAATTTAAGTTTTCTTATAAGTTTAGCTTTGTTTCAGTATAAGTTTTTTGAGCCAGAATCGTGCTCTATTCGCTGGCCTGGGGCTTTTTCTATAGACCAGGGCTGTCCTCAAACTCAGAGTTCTCTCTGTCCCAGATTCCTGAGTGCTGGTCAGTATAAACTTGTGGTTGCTTTGTTTGTTTGTTTTTGAGGCAAGATCTCTGTGTAGCCCAGGCTGGCCTTGGACTTGCTCTGTAGACCAGGCTGGCTTCAAACTCACAGAGGTCTCCCTGCTTCTGCCTCCCCAGTGCTGGGGTTAAAGGCCTGTGCCACCACATCTGGCAATATAAACTTTTTATTGAAATATAGTATTATACACATGGAGTAAAGTACACAGATTGCATATACAACTTGATATAACACTAAATTTTGAATGTAGGTTTAATGTTAAAGGATTGCTGGGACCTCCTGCCACAAACCTGGCTCCAGGTGTGAGGAGAGAACTGTCTGTAGGGAATAAAGCTGAGAGTGATAGAGCAGGGTACCCAACATCTTCCTCAGCCTCTGCGTGCACCCTTGCATACATGTGTGCACACGCCATCACACACACCTCGCAGGGACACACAAATACCGTAGCCTTCCATAGTTTCTCTGTTCAGTTACTTAACTGCTAAGCCTGTGTTGACAGTTCATACTTCATGTTATTTTACGTGAAATAAATGCTTTTTTCCCCCTTTTAAATTGCTAGCCATGCAAGAAGCGGAGAAAAGATGATGACACCTCTTCCTGTGAAACAATTACCAAATATTTATCACCAACACGGAAGACTGGAGACAAGGTTTTCTCCCCACCAAAGCCTAGTAATATTCTACATTATTTTAGAAAAACTTCACCCACAAACGAGAAGCTACAATCAACAAAGAAGTGCAAGATAAAGCCATCTCCGCCATTGCTTGTTGGCAAGAACAAAGACTGTAAGACAACTTTGGAAGTGTTCTCAAATACAGAATTTAAGAAGAAAAGAAAGAGAATTAGTTTATCCCATCAACTGAATGATATTAAAATTGAGTATGAGGCTCCGGTTGAAGTCAGTACCGAAGAGAATAAGGAGGGCTGTGGTCTAAGTGATTTTGTGGAGACCAGTACTTCTGTTTTCCTTTACAAGAAACATGTGGAGGTTCTTGCAGAAAGCTTTCAAGACGGCAGAAGCCGGTCGAATACTATGACCTCTAAAAAACATTCCAAGAAAGTAAATCATAAACAAGGCACCACGAAAAATGATGGCAAAATGTCGAGAAAAAGGAGACGTAATGAGATAATAGATCTGTCTGAAAGTTTACCCTTGGCGGATGAAATGAGTCTGCTTAGGAAAGATGGTAAAGACAGAAAACAGACTGAGCCTTCCCTGACCGATGGAAACAAGAGGACTGCAAATCATGTAGACTCCTGGGCTCATGCAACCAAAATAGCTGATTTAAATGAGAATACAATAACTGTTTCCTATGAGGAATTTTTAAAAAGTCACAAGGCAGCTAAAGTAGAAGAGGTGCCTGACCCTGCAGTGTCCTCTGTTCCTTCCGGGCCTAGTGAAACAGTCAGAAGTGGTTCTGATGGGGAATCAGAAGCCTGTGAACCGTCTCCACAGGTTCAGCTTAAGACAGTTACTGTTCTTGCTCAAGTTCACTCCACTCCGCCCAAAAAGAAAGGGAAAATACCCCCAATTTTCTTGAAACAGAAACATCTTGAGCTGGAGAATAGTCTCTCTGATCCAGAAAATGAGCACACAGTTCAGAAAAGGAAATCGAATGTGGTGATCCAGGAGGGCCAGTTAGAGCTGGCTGTGTTGGAAGCTGGAAGCTCGGAGGCTTCAGTCCTCAAGTGCAGCATGGAGGAGAGACAGCAGTTCATGAGAGCATTCAGGCAGCCAACATCAGAAACACTCAAAAATGGGCTCAAGAAACCTTTGGAGAAGCAGAAAGACCCAAGTGAAAAATCTATAAACGAAGGAGATAACAGTTCTGACAATATCATAGAAAATCCTAATATCCAAACAGTTTCAAATCAAGGCAGTTTACAGGCACAAGCTGAAAAAGCAAGTTTTCCTAAGGAGAAAAGTAAAAAGCCAAATAAAAAGGGTAAGAAAACTTTAGGTACTATGACCACAACAGGTGGAAACAGAGAAGAAAACATGCAGAAGGAAAAAACAGCCTTTTCCTTAAAAGATAAACAGAAGAAAAATAGCCTTCGAAAGAGTGTAAGACAGAAGTCAGAAGTTTTCAAAAGCAATGCGTTACTTAACAGTGAAAGTCTTGTTTGTGAGGATATGGCACATGACTCTGTAAAAATGTCTCTGTGTGACAGAAATAAATCAAGAAGAGGTAGCACACCAACCAGGGATGTTCTTGCTCTTCCCAAAGCTGAGCCTGGAAGCAGGCTGGCAAACGTCTCCACACCCAAACCAACCAGGAGATCTCTTAGAGGCAGCAGCACACCTGCCACAGTCACCCCTAGAGGCTCTCATCCTGAGGAGGCTCAGGACACTACTCCAGTGAAGGCTTCCACTCCAAAAGCAGCCAGCACATCAGAAAAGCACAGCCTATATACAGCAGAGTTAATTACAATACCCTCTGATTCGGAGAGCCCCATTAGGTAAAGTTTTGTTTCTCTTCACAAGTTGGAGCATTCTACATGTATTATTAATTGAGAAGGAGAATTTGTTTTGGGGGGGAGGCTTCGAGACAGGGTTTCTCTGTGTAGTAGCCCTGGCTGTCCTGGACTTGTTTTGTAGACCAGGCTGGGCTTAAACTCAGATATCCGCCTGCCTCTGCTTCCCAAGTGCTGGAATTAAAGGCGTGTACCACCACCACCCTGTAGGAAGGTGAATTCTTCTAGCATTGTAGAGTTCATTTATTTTCTAGCATACAATCTACTTATAAATAATCTTTTATGTATACACAACCCGAGGATTTGCCCTCATAGGTTAGGTAAGTCTACTACTGAACCACATCCCCATCATTTCATTTTGAGACTCCTAGGTTGCCCAGTCTCAGTCTCGTTCTGATTTTCAGCAAGGCCTTAAATATGTTATCCCTCTCTGTACTTTCCAAGTACCTGGATGACAGACCTATGCCACCAAACCTGGCTTTTGTTTTGTTTTGAGATAGGGTCTTATTCAGGAACCCAGGCCTGGAATAGTGTATAACCTAGAATATTTTTAAACTTGTGGTAATCCTCCTGCTCCAGCATCCTGAGTGCTGGGATTTCTAGTGTGAGCCACTGCACACAGCTTTATTAACTGTTTATTCAGACATGGTCTTGCTATTAGCTTATTCTTTCTATTTAGTCTAGGACTTAAATTCTCTGCCAAGTGGTGGGATTGCTGGTGTATACTACCATACCTGACTAATATAACTAATTTAAAGCCTATTTGAGAAAATTTACAGATATATTTCAGATGAGTTCTAAACTCTTATTTGTCATAGTTGGTAATCCTTAGGGAAATAGTCCTCAAATATGAATTTACCAAATATCAGATGAAAAATAAGTTATAAGAATGTTTTTTGTTGTTTTGAAACAGTGTCAGTCTTGGCTATCTAGAACTATGTAGACCAGTCTGGACTCCAACTCAAAGAGATCTTGCCTCTGCCTCCCTGCCCCTCTCTGCCTCTCTGCCTCCCTGCCTCCCTGCCCCTCTCTGCCTCCCTGCCTCTGCCTCTGCCTCTGCGGTTCTGGAATTAAAGACATGCACCCCCACAGCCAGCTGAGTGCTGTTCTTTTTTTTTTTAATTTTATTTTTCTTTATTAATTACACTTTACTCACTTTGTATCCCCCCGTGGTTCCCTCCCTCCTCCTGTCCCAGTCCCTCCCTCCATCCTTGAGTGCTGTAAACTGACCAGTACATGATGGAGTATGTATGCTCTTGTATACTGGCTCTGTCTAATGCTACTGTGATCCAGGGATGAGTTTTCATTTTTTTCCCAGAAGTATTGTTTTTCTCTTTGTTTCTGTTTTGCTGTGCTGAGTGGGGCTCATGCTAGGCAGGTGGGCTTATTTTCTTTCCCTCCCTCCTGGTTCCCCACTGCTTGAATTATGGGTGTGCCTCATCATACCTGGTAAGGCCATTGTTTTTATTGATTGATTGATTGATTGATTGATTGATTGATTGATTGCAAACAAGCAAGATTTTATTGAAAAGTAAGCTCTCCTCAGCAGAGAAGAGTGCTGAAAATGTGTTGATTAGGTTTATTTTTTTATTTTTTGGTTTTTCAAAGCAGGGCTTCGTGTAGTCTTGGCTGTCCTGGAACTCACTCTGTAGACCAGTTTGGCCTTGAACTCACAGAGATGTGCCTTCCTCTGCCTCCTGAGCACTGGGATTAAAGGTGTGCGCCACCACTGCCTGGCTGGTTTATTAGTTACTAACCATTGAACCATCTCTCCAGCCCCCAGGTTTATTATTTCTAAGTGAAATAATAAATGATAAAGCTTGGTAGTAGGTGGTTGCTGAGCATGTACAGGACCTTGGGTTCCATCTCCAGCACCAGGAATAAATAAAAAGTTTAACTCACTATTGAATCAAACTGATGAGATTTGTTTTCCTTTTCTTTAAACTGAAATATTAACTGGTTTGTTTTTATATTTAAGATTCTTGTACATTCTTATGAAAATGTTTATAAACGTCATTTTTTTCCAGAATGAAATTCACTAGAATTAATACTCCCCAAAAATCTAAGAAAAAATCCAAGAAAAGATCTAAGAAATCTGAAACAACTGAAGGAGAACTCACTGCTCAGAAGAGAAAGGTAATAAAAGTAATGGAGTCCTGAAGGTGATATCGCTTCATAAGGACTGGAAGTCATGTCAAAGAGGATTCCCATGTGTCATACATTCAATAATTACAACCCATGCCATTTATTTCCTGTTCCTCTTGGAAGAGCAGCTAGTGCTCTTAATTACTGAGCCACTTCTCCAGCCCCTTCCTGTGTTTTTTTTTTTCTCTTTCTATTTATTTGTTTGTTTGTTTGTTTATTATTTATACATTTTTCTGTCTGCATGTGCACCTACATGCCAGAAGAAGGCACAGGATGTCATTATAGATGGTTGTGAGCCACCATGTGTTTGCTGGGAATTGAACTCAGGACCTTTGGTAGAGCAGCCAGTGCTCTTAACCTCTGAGCCATCTCTCTAGCCCTCCTGTGTGTTCTTGACCCCTTTATAAGACAGGATCTCCCTATGCAGACCGGGCTGGCTTTGACCTCACAGAGATTCATCTGTTTCTACCTCCTGAGAGCTGGGATTTTGGGTGTTTGCCACCACACCCAGCCCCTAGGTCTGTTCTTTTGTTTTGCTTTTTAGACAGAATTTTTCTGGGTAGCCTTGCCTGTTGTGGACTCTCTTTGTAGACCAGGCTGGCCTTGAACTCACATCAATTTATTTACCTCTGCCTCCCTAGTGCTGGGATTACACACATGTGCTACTGTGCCCGCTCCATCTCTGTTCTTAACTCTTTATCACTTCTAATTAGATTCTGTAAAGCCAATGAACATAAACTATGTATTTTTCTTTATATTAGTGAGAGCCTTGCATACAGTATGCACAGTAACTGCTTGTATTTGAAATATACTTTACCTGAGTTTGTTGGCTAAAATCAAAGAATACATCGTCATCGAGGTGGTAAAAGCAGCCACCAATTCTAATATAAATTATAGACTCCATTTTGATTATTTGATTTTTGATTTTTTTTTTTTTTTTTGAGACAGGTTTCTCTGTGTAGTCCTGGTTGTTTGTTTGTTTGGCTTTTTTTTTTCAGGTTGTTTGTTTTGTTTTGTTTTTAAGATTTATTTATTTATAATTTAAATAGTGTTCTGCCTCATGTGTGCCTGCTGACCTTAAGAGGGGACCAGATCTCACTATAGATGGCTATGAGCCACCATGTGGCTGCTGGGAATTGAACTCAGGACCTCTGGAAGAACAGCCAGGATTCAGACTAACAGTGTGGCCACCACTTCCCATCTGCTTCTGGTTTTAATCTCAAATTCTCACACTGAGCCCCTCCGGCTGGGTGCTTTATAAACATGAAGATACACTTATAAGAACAATTACAGGTTAAAAAAAAAGCAGACTAATTATCATTAAATACATTTGCATTTGGGTTCCCTGGTAAAATTTGAATAATCATTCTCTGGTTGATTATTGTGATGTAAATATATTTTATATATTTCTGTTATTAAATATGAAATTCTTGCTGTGATCTGAATTAATTGTCCAAAATTTTGTCTAGGCAAACAATACTTCAAAAAATATATCAAAAGCCAAACAACTGATTGAGAAAGCAAAAACTTTCAGAGTCATTGAATCAAAGGCTGAAGAAACAGTGGTACCCTTGAGGCGGTCCTCTAGGCACCAAACACTTCCCAAAAGGGAGCCCTCACCAGAGACAGATGTAAGTATTCAAATGTCTGTTGATACATTTGCCTTCCTTAGTACTAGTGGGAGAAAGAAACCTTTACAAAGCTATGGATGTGGTGGGCATTCTGCTTCAAAAGCCTTTGGTTTACAGGTCTGAGTCTTGGGTCATTCAAGGTATCTTGTAAACTAAACCGATTCTTCCCATTCCTTAAGCAGTTCTTTTCCACAGTCATACTAAATTACTCATTTCTTCCCAGGTAGCTTACTTTTCACTTTATTTTCTCACTTTGACATTCACAACATTCCAAGTCTTCTACCTGAGAATCTTCTATTTGGCTTTTACTGTCTTGCTAAAAGCCACTACCTCCTATTTTTAAAATAGTTTTATTGAGATATAATTTACATACTGTAGAATTGGCCATTTAAGTATACAATTCAAAACTTACAGAGTTGTGTTGCATACTGAAGTCATAATTGGCACTAGGAAGGTAAAATAGAGGGATCAGGAGTTTAGGGTGATCCTCAGGCTATGTGATAAGTTCAAGGGCAGCCTAGCCTACATGAGACTTTGTCTTAAAAAAAAAAAGTATGCAGCTCAGTGTCTTCAAATATATTCAGAGTTGTGCTTCTACTATAGCCAATTTTAGAAAATTCTTATTTTTGAAACAAGGTTTTGCTATATAGCCCAGGGTCCCTCAAATTCACCATCCTTTTGCCTCAGCTGGGCTTCTGAGTATGTGCCACCATGCTAGTTTGAAACATTTCCATTATCTCCAAAGAGGATACCATTCCCCTTTGCTGTTGCTTCCCAGTCCTCCTGTTTTCCAATGACAACTACTTATTTGCTGTTAAAGTTATTTTTATAAGATTGTGTTTCTTTTTCAGTTTCTCTCCAACCTGGCTATCACCAAAATAATTGAGACTATTATTTGCTTAATCTTATGTACAACTGAGCAGTTTTAACTCTATTCTTAATCCTTTAAGTTAGTCTTGATTGCTGCCAGTATAAATCTCAGAAATACTTGCACTTCATGGCTCTTCTGCTCAGCTCTCTCTCCTGATGTCTCCTAGATCTCTGCCTTTCACTGAATCCCCTATTTTCTCCTCTAACTATTCCTCCCCTGGAGAGCAGAAAGTCCAGCCCTATTCTTTCTCCCAGCTATTGGCTGTAAGCTGTTCTATTTACATATCAGGGGACAGTTGTGGAGAAGTGTTTACACAACATCGAGACAGGAGATTCTCAGAAGGATTGCAACCAGATATGGGGGGCAGATAGAGAAATCAGCATTTAAATTGTACAACAACCTTATGCCTACAGTCTGCCTTTGTTATGCCCAGTTAGTGAGACCCCCAAAGACCACCAGGAATTGACTCCTCTGCAAAACACATGAGGATCTTTTTATTACAAGCCATAGCTTGGGCTCATACACCCTCACCGCCATAGCAGTTGAGAGCAAAGAGCCTCATGCTCAGGTTAGGTGATTGATTTAAAGATTCCAGTCCCTCCTAGAGGACCCAAAGCAGGGGAATTTCTGCCTAGCAAGTATTAATTGGTTGAAACACAAAAGGGGATGTTGCATTTTTAATTGATTGGCTATAGGAAGGCCCTCAAACCTTGGTGTGGCTTCTCTTGTTTGGCTGTCCTAGGGGAGGGGGCAATCTGGCCAGGTTTCCTAGCAACTGTAGGAATTTCTGCCTAGCAAGTATTAATTGGTTGAAACACAAAAGGGGATGTTGCATTTTTAATTGATTGGCTATAGGAAGGCCCTCAAACCTTGGTGTGACTTCTCTTGTTTGGCTGTCCTAGGGGAGGGGGCAATCTGGCCAGGTTTCCTAGCAACTGTATCTATAGTGGGCAGGAAAAGAATGCAGTAAGGCTGGTTCCCCCCACCCACTCCTGCAGGCGGCTGGACATGTCTTCACCTGTCTGGCCTTTGTTCAGGTTTGTGCTTTAAACGTTGAACCAATACCTCAAAAAACTAATTTTTAGTTCTTTGGTCTCTCATTTTCTATTTCTATAGATTTATCTATTCTGGACAGTTCATAAAATATTCTGTGATATAATATGGAAGATTATACTCCCAACCCAGCCTTTTGTGAGATCAATTATCCATATTTTTTAGTGTATTCATGCTTTATATGCTATCTACCCATTAGTAGCCACTTCAGTTAGCTTATCAACTGAGGCAGTATTAACAGTGCTTGTGTTCAAGCATCCTTATTTTACTCAGTAGTGGCTCCATAGTAATTAGTAATGCTGGAAATTTGGGTGCACAAAAGAGTAGTGGAAACTAAAAATTCTTCTATTACTAAAGAAAGAAGCTGGGCGTGGTGTGCATGCTTGTAACCCAGGCACCTCAGACAGAGGCAGGCAGAGCTCTCTGAGTCTGAAGCCAGCCTGGTCTGCAGAGCGAGTTCCTGGATAGCCAGGGATACACAGTGAGATTCTCAAAGGAAGAAAAAGAGAAAAATAAAACAAGCTATATGTTGAAATGGCAAAAAATCTCTAGTAAGGAACAATCTTTTATCTGAAATTATGACAGAAAAGGGAATTCACTGTTATATCAATCTGTAAACATTGTAGTCCTTGTGTGTTATCAGGTATGTATATATGTGAAAACAACTTAACTCAGAACTATCTGAGACTTAGACATTTCACAGGGGTTATTAGAATCTCCAAAGAATGAAGAAAAATACTGTATTAAAGTGTTTCTGGTTTTATTTATTTATTTATTTATTTTGTTTTTTGTCTTAGGACTCTGTGATACTAATAGATTCAAGTCCAACCTCGATAAAACAACCAGAGAAAAATCAGAAGAAACTTCAGAATTTGAATGATGTACTAGGAAAAAAACTTAACAAGCCTTCTAAAAATGTTCCTGGTAATTGGATTTAATACCATTTTATGAATAGTAGAATGTTTAGGGGCAATTAATTCTCAATATTCTGGTGCACAGTTAATGTCTTCTTCCATAAAATAGAAATTTTAGGTGTTTTGTTTGTTGATTTGTTTTCTTTGAGACAGGCTCTCACTATACCTCTGGCTTGGAACTGACTAGAGAGATCTGTCTCCCTCTGCCTATGAAATGCTAGGATTAAAGGCATGTACCATCAAGACTAGTTTGGTTTGGGTTGGGTTTTGTGGGGGGGGGTTGCTTGTTTGTTTGTCTGAGACAGGGTTTCTCTGTGTAGCCCTACCTGTCCTGTAACTCACTCTGTAGTCCAAGCTGGCCTCAAACTCAAAACTTTGTTTTGTTTTGTGGGACGTGATCTTCTGTCACTGGGCTGTTTACTTACTGTGTAATTGAGGCTAGCCTAAACTCCTCATCTCCCTGTCTCCACCTTCAAGTGCTGGGACTACAGGTGTGTGCCACCTTGTCCGCCTAATTATTTCCATTTGATAAGTAAAGTTTTTATCAAAAATTTCAAACAAAAATTGAGCATCTTGTTTATTTTTTAATTTTTTTTAATTACTGTATTTCTGTATATATACTTAGCAGCTCCCAAACTTGCCTTTCAAATTTTTTCTTTGTTCATTAAAACGTATCTTTATTATTTATTTATTAATTGGTTTATTTGTATGTTCCAGTGTGAGGGTTCAAGACAATTTCAGGTGTGGGTCTTTACCTTCCACCTATGGCTTTTTACGTGAGTGTCAGGGATAAAATTCAGCTTGTTGGTCAGGCTTTACCAACTGAGCCAGCTCGATAGTTCTCATTTTTTGTTTGTTTGTTTGCTATTGTTTTTTATCATTAAAACATTTAATCCCAGGACTCAGGGAGGCAGAGGCAGGCAGATCTCTTGGGTTCCAGGCCAGCCTGGTCTACAGAGCAAGTTCCAGGACAGCCAAGGCTACAGAGAAACCCTGTTTCGAAAAACAAAACAAAACCATTTAAAATCTTTAGGTATTTCCCTAGATGTACTGAGCAAATATATATTTTGACATGTATATTATTCTGTAGTTAAAAATGAAAGTTTTCCAGAGAAGTCTGATATTACCAAGTTGATGAAACATTACTATATAGTATTTTTATAATTAAAAAGTTAAATTTCTAAAAGTTTTAGAAGATAATTTTGAAAACAACTAAAGGTAAGTGGAGATGGTAAACATTTAATACTAACCCAAGTATTGATTTTTCTAAGGAAAAATGAAAATTGCTCCTTTATTTCTTGCCAAAAAGAGTAAAAGAACAGCTGTTCCTGTCTTTGATTTGGATGAAACCAGGTCAGTTCAATACAAATATTTAAACATTGAATGTTTTATGGAATACATAAAACATTTGTATTTATTGTTTAACTAGATGTCAAAGACCATTTGAAATCTTTTTGCATATGAGTATCTGTGTGGTGTGTGTATATATTAAAGCCTATTTGTTTGGTTTGTGTGTTCACGTGTGTGTGTGCTTGTGTGCAGGTGCTCAAGTGTATGTCCATGAAGGCCAGAGGCAGATGGCAGGGGTCTTCCTCCATTACCCTGCTTTTCTGTGGGTGCTGACATCCCAACTCCAATCCACACACTTGCATGGCACATACTTCACTCACTTGAGTCGTCTCCCCAGCCCTATGGTGAAGTTTAAAAACACAAGCTAATGCTTGTGCTGCTGTTGGAGGTTTCAGGCTTCTCTAAAGGCTTTACAGCTGATTCACATAAAATGGCAGAATAATAAAAACCAAAGTATCAAACTTCGTTAATGACCGTCATTCAGGAAATATTTAAATGTCCTCAATGTACCAGGCACTCCCTTTGGCACTAGGAATGTTAAGGGAAACACAGTGCCTATCATGAGGTTTATAGGTTCCAGGGGGAATACAGTCTATAATTAAATTGTAACTGGCCTAACAAATGAAAAATTGACATGGTGCTAAGGAAGGGTACAAGATTTTATTGGTTTATATTAAGGAGATTTTTGTCTTGTTATTTTACTGATGAAATGATACCTGAACCCTGAAGAGAGTCCCAGTCAGCATTTTGGTGGGTGCCTTTTTGTGTTTGTTTGTTTTGTTTTTTGAGACAGGGTTTCTCTGTGTAGCCTTCACTGTCCTAAACTCGCTTTGTAGACCAGGCTGGCCTCTAACTCACAGAGATCCACCTGCCTCTGCCTCCCAGAGTGCTGGGATTACAAGCATGTACCACTGTGCTTGAGCATATTAGGTGGCTTTTAAGACAGTTTTTTGTTTTGTTTTTTTTAATTTCATTATCATCATTTTGGTTTTGTTTATACAGGGTTTCTCTGTGTAGCCCTGGCTGGCCTGGAGCTCACTCTGTAGACTAGGCTGACCTTGAACTCAGAGACCTGCCTGCTGGTATTAAAGTTGTACGCTACTGCTGCCAGCGCTACGTCACTTTTGTTTGTTTTAAGGAATACAAAAAAAATTTGTCTTTTTAACCTAAGTAGATAAACAAAGAATAATTTTACCAGCTAATTTATTGGGTGTACTTATTTTGAAATTTTTTTTTTAGATTTTATTTTTAGTGTGTGTGTGTGTGTGTGTGTGTGTGTCTTTTTTTTTTCTTTTTATTAATTACACTTTATTCACTTTGTATCCCCCCATAAGCCCTTCCCTCCTGTGTGTGTCTTTTTGTGTAGGTGTATTCCTATGTTGGAAAATTGTTAATTGGTCTTTCCTTTCCTCTGTTTGGAATCCAGGGATGGAACTCAGGTATATCGGGCTTGTGTGTGGCAAGGGCCTTTACCACTGAGCCATCTCACTAACCTAAAGATAAAGTTTGAAAATATTTATTTTCTAGATAGTTCACTCTTTAGTTTTTTTTTTTTAAGTATTTATTTACTTATTTGTGTGTATGTGCTTGTGTGTGTAGGACAGAGATTTTTTTTTTTTTTTTCCTGCTCCCATGTTGGTCCTGTAAATTGGACTCAGGTCATCAATCTTGGCAGCAAGTTCCTTTACTTGCTGAGCTACTTCACTGGCCCTAATTAGTTTATTATTTATTTAGTTTTACTCTACTTATTTATTTTAAGACAGGGGCTCCCTGTCTAACTCTGACTGTCGTAGAACTTAACTATGTAGACTAGCCCGGATTTGAACCCAAAGAAATCCACCTTCTTCTGCCTCCTGAATGCTGGGACGAAAGACATGCACCATTACACCTGGCTATTTTTTAAATTATTTTATTATATTAATTAATTAATTAACTTACATGTATATACACACACATGCCAGGGCATGCATGTGGAATTCAGAAAACAATTTGTGGGAATAGATTCTCTCCTTCATGCTATGGGTCTTGGGAATTGAACTCAAGTTGTCAATTTATTTTTTATTTTTTAAAAATAATTAATTTAATTCTCTGTGCATTGGCATGAAGGTGTCAGAATCCATGAGACTAGAGTTATAGACAGTTGTGAGTTGCCATGTGGTTGCTGGAAATTGAACCTGGGTCCTTTGGAAAAGCAGCCAGTGCTCTTAACCACGGAGCCATGTCTCTATCAATTTATTTTTTTAGATGTTTATAACTTTTGCTTTTATTTTACAAATAATTTTCTTCAAAGTCAAGATTCATCAGAACACACTCAGGATTGTGATGTACAATTCAAAGCAAAGCGTGATTTTCTAATGAGTGGTTTGCCAGATTTACTGAAACGACAGATTGCAAAGAAAGCTGCGGTGTTAGATGTGTACAATGCAGCGAGCACCAGTTTCCAGAGGGTTGTTCACGTGCAGCAGAAGGAGGATGGTGAGTTTATTTTGTTTGTGTGTGTATTTAGACAGGGTCTTTCTGTGTAGCTTGCCTGGCCTGGAACTCACTACATAGACCAGGCTAGCCTCAAATGTATTTATTTTTCAGCCAGGGTCTCTTACTCTATGGCCCAGTCTGGCCATGAACTTATGTATCCTAGACCTGAAATTGAACAATACTTTTTCTTTAGCCTCCTGAGAGTTGGGATTATAAGCAGGGGCCCCACCTGGCTACGTATTTATGCCTTCCCTACTAGAACTAATCTCATCCTATGTACGGTGCCTGCATATGGGAGGCATGGGTTTGATCCTGGGCACAATAACAAAAGTGAGGATGAGCTTTAAGGAGATAACAGATATATTCAAACACCTCAAGACTGACACAGGAAGATCAAGAGTTAGAGGGCCTTCTGGACTGAATAGTGAGCCTCTGTTCTTTTCAAAGGAAAAAGGGTTGGGAAATGGCTCAGTGCTCAAAAAGTACTTACTGCTCTTCCAGAAGACCAGGGTTCAAGTCCCAGCACCCACATGGAGGCTTATAACCACTTGTAATTCCAGCTCCAAGAGATCTGGGTTTCTTGTATTCAGGAAGGAAAAACTTTCTGTCTTTAGGCACCTGTACACATGTGATACATATATATCCACTCAGGCACGCACACAAAAAATATCATAATTCCAATAATTAGAAGGTAGAAACAGGAGGCTCCTGAGTCCAGAGCCAGACTGCTGTACATAGCAAGTTCCAGGGCAGCCAGAGCTACATTATGAGACCCTGTCTTTAAAAAAGAAAGAAAGACACACCACCGCCCCCAGCGGGGGAGCAGCCTTGCCAGGCCACAGAAGAGGACAATGCAGCCAGTCCTAATGAGACCTGATAAGCTAGGGTCAGATGGAAGGGGAGGAGGACCTCCCCTATCAGTGGACTTAGAGAGGGGAATGGGAGGGAGAGTGGGATTGGGAGGGATTGAGGGAGGGAGCTACAGCTGGGATACAAAAAAAAATTTAAATAAACTGTAATTAATAGAAAAAATAAAAATTTAATTAAGAAGAAATAAAGCTGGGCACAGTGTCCCACACCAGTAATCCCAGCACTCAAGGAGGTAGAGGCAGGCGGATTTCTGTGAGTGTGAAGCTAACCTGCTCTACAAAGCAAGCCCAGGACAACCAAGGCTATACAGAAAAACCCAGTCTTGGGGAAAAAAAGAAAAATACTTTAAGATGATATAAATATTTGTTGTTATTTTCTCTTTTTTAAAACTTTAATTATTATTTTAATAATTTATTTATTATGTATACAGTATTGTGCCTGCATATATACCTGCAGGCCAGAAGAGGGCACCAGATCTCATAAATGGTTGTGAGCCACAAAGTGGTTGCTGGGAATTGAACTCAGGACCTTTGGAAGAACTGCTCTTAAGCCCTAAGCTATCTTTCCAGCCCATTGTTTTAGTTTTTCAAGATAGGTTTTCTCTGTGTGGCTCTGGTTGTCCTGGAATTTTCTCTGTAGATCAGGCTAGCCTGAAATAGATCCACTGCTTGACCGCCTGAGTTCCAGGACAGCCAGGGCTGCATAAAGAAACCCTCTTTCGAAAAACTGTTTAAAGACGAAAATGGGGTAGGTGTTCTGGCTTTACAGTGTTGTGATGGTAATTTTAGTGATTACCAGTATATTTTTATCCCTTTTTGTTCATTTTTTTTGATAAAGGGTTTCTCTCTGTAGCCCTGACTGGTCTGTACTCACTTTGTAGACCAGTCTGGCCTCAAAGAGATCTGCCTCTGCCTCCCAGAGTGCTGGGATTACAGGCATGTGCCACCGTGCCTGGCATTATCCTTTTTTTCTTAATCCCTAAGCTTCAGTTTACTGAGGATGCTCCTGCACAGAAGGCAAAGGGGCTCTTACCTACCCTTGTGTCGTCTTCGCATCCCTGAGGGAAGGGACCTTGAATGAATACCACGCTAATGTTAGATTTGGGATTGTTAGGAGGCTGGGTTTGAGAATTGTAGTTCATGGCCAGTCGGAGGGACATAGCATGTTTAATGCAGCCTGGGCTCCATAGGGAAGCTCTGTCTAAAAACAAACAACATAACAAAAAAGTCAAAACCTTAGACAGACTCGAAATCAGAATGCTGAAAAGTACTTTTTTTTTTTTAATCCTACATTTCAAAGTGATTTAAAAGATTCAAAAAGAAATGAGCTTGCTGGTATTTATTCATTTTTACAAATTAAAGAGAAGTGGAGGTGATTTTTATCTGTTTTTTGGTGGGGATCTTGCTGTGAAGCCTAGGCAAGCTTTGTGTTCCCAGTCCTGTGTCCACCTCTTGAGTGTTGGGCTTACAGGAGTGCACATGGCAAGTGACCTCTGCATTTTGTTCACTATTTACTCACTTGGCTGTTTGATGTTTGTGCTTTTTGTTTCTGTTTTGTTGCTGTTTGGGACTGCCAGGAATTGAGCTCAGGGTCTCATATGTACTAAGGTTTGTCGGGCCTTTTCCTGTTTGTCTATTTGACATTCACTAAAAGTGAAGAGTGTACAATTTAGGGTACTGTCTCTGTTTTTCCTTAGAATATTGGTTATGGAATTTGAAGCCACCTTCTTGTCCTCTGTTAACTGAATATAAGGAAAAAAATACTAAAGTAACAGATCTCTCAAAATGTGTTGTTGCTCTTGGTGAATTTTCAACCTTGTATTCAAATCCAAATGCTGTTGTGGTAAGTACCAGATAAATGATTTATGGTTCCATCAGTGATACTTTCCCTGCTGTCATAGAAAAACACAGGCTGGCAACTGTTTAGGTTGGGGTGATCTTCTTTTCCTAGGCTCTAGTTTTAAAAACAAGTCTAATTGAAATACATAATACCAGCACTTGGGAGGCAGAGGTTGGTGGATCTCTTGAGTCTGAGGCCAGCCTGGTCTACAAGAGTGAGTTCTAGCGCATCCAGGGCTACACAGAGAAACCCTGTCTCGAAAAACCAAAAAAGAAAAAGAAATTTTAAATATGTATTTTAATTTTATGTTTATGTGTGTGTGTTCTTGAGTGCATGTTGTACAATTGCCCACAGAGACCAGAAGAGGCGTGAGATGTCCTGGAACTGGAGTTACAGGCAGTTGTAAGCCACCTAATGTTGGTGCTGGAACTGAAGTCAGATCCTCTGCAAGAACAAGAGTGTCCCTAACCACTGAACCATCTCTCTAGCCCCTCACAGAGCTTTAAAACATTAAATTAATTAATAATTAATAATAACTTATTATAATAAATTAATAATACAGCTGGGCATGTTGGCCCATACATATAAGCCAAGCACTTAGAAGGCTGAGACATGAAGGTGTTGAAATCTTTTTATTTTTATTTAATTTTGAAAAGGTTTTCAACTTTACTATGTTGCATTGGCTGGCCTGGCACTCACTGTATAGACAAAGCTGGCCTCAGACTCACAGAGATCTCCTTGCCTCTGGGATTAAAGGTGTACATCAGGGGCTGGAGAGATGGCTCAATGGTTAAGAGTGCTGTCTGCTCTTTCTAGAGGTCCTGAGTTCAATTCCCAGCAACCACTTGGTAGCTCAAAACCATCTATACTGGAATCTGATACTCTCTTCTGCCATGCAGGTATACATGCAGATAAAGCACTCATATATATAAACAAATAAATGTTTAAAGTAAAAAGTATACACCAGTATGCCTGGCCAGACCCTATCTTTAACTTAAGAAAGAAAAGAAAAGAGAAAAAAAAAATTTAAAAAGCAATTTTAACAGAATATTAAATTATATAGTTCATTTAAATACTTTGTAAATCAGAACTAAGGTATAAAGTATAATTAATAAAAGTAGAAAAATAAGCCAGGTGTGGTGGCACACACCTGTAATCCCAGCACTCTGGGAGGCAGAGAAAGGTTGTGAGTTTGAGGCCAACCTGGTCTAAAAATAGAGTCCAGGACAGCCCTGTCTCAAAGAAAAAAGGAGAAAATAAACATATAAAATAGGTCCTTCCAAAACCAAGCAAATGTGCTTAGTGACTAAAGCTAATCTTGCATTGATAGTGACTTTCTAGGGAGGAGGGTTTAGTAGTGTTATGGCTAAGGAAATGGATGATACAAGCTTGTTATTGTACATTTTCTTCTTCATTGCAGTTGATGAGAACAAGGAAGGATTTTACTAAAGAAGTAAGAAATCTTTTGCTGGAGGAAATAAAGTGGTCAAATCCTGAATTTTCTTTGGAAAAATATTTACCCTTGCTTCTGAAAAAACGAACTGAGCACCAGGTACTTTCTGAGGGTCAAGGTAAACAAGGTTAGTGATAATCATTGTCATTTATGTCTACATTTGAGTTTTGGAAAGATGAAGACCCAGGCTTTGACTCTTAGAAGTGGTTAGCACAGACAATTTTGTTGCCAGTTGGCAAGGGAGATTGTTTAGGAGTTAAATATTTAAGTCTCTAGCTTACTCTCGTTTTGTAACATTTGATTCTTTTTATCTTAATGTTGTAAGACTACAGGATATTTGAAAGTGATAGGAAGATTGTTGGGTATTTAAGATTGTTTTCATTCACTAGTCAACATACCTATTTCTCTAATTTCCAAAATAGCCAGTCCACAACAGCAACCTAATGTCACTCAAAGAGAAACCAAAAGGAAACGCGTGGATACAGGAAATCAAAAGTCAAAAAGAAAGAGGCCAAATGAATATTCAGTGAGCCCAGAAAAGATAAAGGGGACGTCAGATGAAATTGAAAAAAGAATCAGTTCTTCTGGAATAAATCTAGATTCTTCCAAAGGTATATTTCTTTCTTTCTTTTTTATTTTTCGGGACAGGGTTTCTCTGTGTAGCCTTGGCAATCCTGGAATCACTTTGTAGACCAGGCTGGCTTTGAATTCACAGAGATCCACCTGCCTCTGTCTTGCAGAGTGCTGGGATTACAGGCCTGTGCCAGCAGGCCCAGTCCCCAAAGGTATATTTCTCAATATCTCAGGGAAGAAGAGAACCGCTTTAAGTACCTGTGAAGTCAAGATGGAAGCAGTTGACGGTTATGTTCTCAGATGATGACAGAGTCAGTAGCAGAAATACCATCCTTTACTGGCAAAGAGGGCTTCGCCCCACCTGTCACCCTACAGCTTTCCTTTTACCCTGTCAGTTCTGCTCCCCCATCATTTTGAGACAGTCTAGCCGAGGCTGAGGTCAAACAAAGATAGCCTTGAGCTTCCTGCCTCCACCTCCCAGGATTGTAAGCTTGCACACCCTGCCATGTTTATGCATAGTGCTGGGGACTGAAGCCAGACCTTTGTGCATGCTGGGCAAACACTCTACCTCCTAAGCCACATTGTGAACTCCTAACCTTTCATTCTTCCTCACCCCTCTCCCCCTTTCTAAAAAACATTCTTATGTTGCCTAGGATGAGCTTGAACTTGCTCTTCTGTCTCAGTCTCCAAAATAGCTCTGTTGGCTCACAGAGAATTATATTAGCATGTTGTTAAATTTATAGTGTTATTCTGACTTGTATGAATACACTTGATTTTCGTTTATAGACAGAAGGTCCTGCTGGGTACCCCTGGCTGACCTTGAACTCTTTGTTAAAACTGTTGGCATTCACCATACTTGCCTTCCACATAGGCTCTGCTTTTGAAGCCTGAGATGGATCAGCTGGGCCTGGTGCTGCAGGCCTGTAACCCAGGTTACTCAGGACATGTGAGTCAGGAGGGTCACAAGTTTCAAGTCTACAGAGGCAGGTGCAGCTCAAGCTTGAGGCCAGCCTGGTTTACAGAGCAAGTTCTAGGACAGCCAAGGCTACACAGAGAAACCCTGTCTTTTTTTTTTTTTTTTTTTTTTTTTTTTTTTTTTTTTGAGAAGCCCTGTCTTTAAAAAGGGGGTTGGGGGAGGGACTATCTGTGCTATAAAGTTGAGTTTAAGATCTGTTGCTAGGACTATAGCTCAGTGGTAGAGCACTAGTTCCAATTTCAATCCCAGCCCTGCAAAGAGAGAGCGAGAGAGAAAGTCTGTAATCATGCTATTTATATTGTTCAGTATATTTTGCCTTTCTATACATTCTTATTCAGTATATATGCACACACACACACATATCTTATGTAAAGTTGAGTTTTTTGTTTCTTGAGACATGGTTTCTTTCTGTGTAGTACTGGCTGTCCTAGAACTCACCCTGTAGACAACGTTGGCGTCAAACTCAGATATCCTCCTACTTCTGCCTCCTGAGTACACAAGCCAGACTAGATTAAGTTGATTTAATTCACCTATTTTATATAAGGGCTATGGAATGTTTTAATATTTAGTATGGCGTGTCACCTATTTTCTTTAAAAATTTGTTTTATTTCACTTTATGTGTATGGGTGTCTTGTCTGTATGTATACCTATCTGTGTACTGTATGTGTGTGTGTGGAGGGGTGCTGGCAAGAGCCAGGAGGGCATTGGACCTCCTAGAACTGGAGTTAGAGATGGCTGTGAGCCACTGCGTGGATGTTGGGAACAAACATGGGTCCTCTGAAAAAGCTGCCTGAAAGTCATCTCTCCAGCTTCATGAACTGACTTCCTTAAGTAGACTATCAGTTTTCTTACCTGTATAAATCCCATTCAGACTTTTGAGTTTTTGTTAGTTGCCATGTTTGAAGAGAACTGGCATCTTGGCAGTCTTTGTTAGAGGTGTATCCTTTGTCTCTTTATCCAGATTAGCTGCGTAGATGAGAGGCTGCCTTTGTTCTTTAGCTTATAAGGTTTTATGCTTACACACTATTCTTCATGGTCCATATTATTAAATATGGTAATTAAAATGTAGCTATTAAAAGTTGTAACACAAATACATTACTCTGCTTTTATGGTTGTTAATTTGTAATTTTTTTTTTCTGATTTATTTATTTCCTCTTTGGAGACATGGTCTCACTGTGCAGTGTGGGTGGCCTGGAATTCACTCTGAAGATCAGACTAGCCTCACACTCAGAGATCTGCGTGCCTCTGTAGCTGACTAAGGGGTGCGATTGGTTTCTGTTTGGTTGGTTTTTTAAAATGATTGAGTTTGGGGTGACAAATTTTAAACATGAAATTTTAAAAATATTTTTGCATTTTATAAGTGAAATTCTTTCTGTAGATGTCTTTTATTGCATCTATAATGTAAATGTCTAAGAATGTTCACTTATGTCTAGTAATGAATAATACCTTAATGTGTTTATTTATTTTTACTTCAGATTCTGGAACTGAAGACATGCTTTGGACAGAAAAGTACCAGCCTCAAAATTCAAATGAACTCATAGGCAATGAGTTAGCTATCAAAAAGTTACATAGGTGAGTAGAATTTGAAAACGAATTAAGAAATAGTTTATGAATTTAGTTTTGCTATTTAGACTAAAACTTAGAAACTTCAAAGTAATAATATTACACAGGAAAGTCTTTTTTGGAAAAGAATTTCAAGTGAAAAGCTTCTCTCTTTTTCTTTTTTCTTTATTTATCTATCTATCTGTTTGTTTATTTGGTTTTTTTGAGACAGAGTTTCACTGTGTAGCTCTGGCTGTCCTGGAACTCACCCTGTAGACCAGGCTGGCCTCCAGCTCAGAGCTGCTTCCTGAGTGCTGGGATCGAAGGTGTGCCACCACACCCAGCTTCTTTTTATTTCTGTTTACTAGAGCTTACCACTATTGAAACTGTCTCTTAAAACTTTCAGACAAAATTATATGTGCTGGTCGTGGTGGTGACATCTCTAATCTTAGCAGTCTAGAGGTGGATGCAGGAGGACCAGGAGTTAAATGCCAGTTTGAACTACAGCGTTTAAGGCTAGCCTGGGCTACATGATACTCTTAGCTCAAAAAAAAAAATCATGTGAACACATTCTTACTTTAATTAATTAGTTAATTAATTAAAACATTTTTGAGAGAGAGGGATTCTTTTTGTAGCCTTGCTTTCCTAGAACTAGCTCTATAGACCAGGCTGGCTTTGAACTCACAAAATTGCCTCTCCAGGGCTAGGCTTCATGATGTACTACTGTATTCCTAGTACATGGGAGACTAGGGGAAGAGAATTACCGAGTTCCAGGTCAGTCTGAGCAACATAGCCAGATGCTGTTTCAAAAAAATAAATCAGGGGTCATCATGGCGGCCCAGGAGTAAAAGTAAAAGTGCCTGACAATTTGAGTTCTGTCCCTGAACCCACATGGTAGAAGCTGGCAGAGCCAGCTCCTCAAAGTTGGTCTTTGACTTCCTCATGCATGCACATGCACACACACTAAACGTGATCCTCCTGTTTCTTACCTCCTGAGTTGTGGAATTACACTGTGGATTCATAAGTGTACAGCACACCTGTTTATTTGGTGCTAAATATTGAACACATTCTTTATGCATTTGGGGTGCGTGCTCTTCCGGCTGAGCTGCAGCACAGCCCTATACTTCAGACTGTTTGTAGTAACATTAACATATTTCTTTTATGACAGTTGGTTGAAGGACTGGAAAAGAAGAGCTGAACTGGAAGAAAGACAGAATTTGAAGGGAAAACGAGATGAAAATCAGGAAGGTATTTTGAGTTATAGTTAGTTTTTTTTTTTAATTTCATTGAACATTTCGGAGTTAAATTAGCTAAAATTTACATAAACTTAAGGATTAGTATATTTCATGTTTAACTTTTTTTTTTTTTTTAGTCTTTGTGAATTCGCTTTATAGTATTTATTGGCAAGAAATTTGTGAGATTTAATTACTGTGTTTCATGAGGTAAAAGTGCTACCTAAGCAGTTAATTGTTTTATTTGTATTTGAATAATTTTTCAGATTTGTCGGATAGCATGGACTTTAAAGGCAGTTCAGATGATGAAGAGTATCGCCTTTGCAACACTGTTCTTATAACTGGGCCAACAGGAGTGGGGAAAACCGCTGCCGTGTATGCTTGTGCTCAGGAGCTTGGATTTAAGGTTAGTAGTTGGCCACAGTGAATGTTAATGTAAGAACTGAACTTTGAACATAAATTCCCAGTGTGCCTGTAGTCCTCGCATTGAACTGAAGAAGCATGGACCCAAGGCCAGCTGCTGTTAAGGAAGCCCTTTTTCCTTCTTTGTTTTTGTTTTTTGGTTTTTTGAGACAGGGTTTTTCTGTGTAGCCTTGGCTGTTCTAGACTGGCTCTGTAGACCAGGCTGGGCTTGAACTCACAAAGATCCTCCTGCCTCTGCTTCCCGATCCCTGGGATTACAGGCGTGAGGCTGCACCCAGCTAAACCCCTGTTTCAATGAAGAGCAAAAGGTGACGGGGAGACAATTGAGTTGAAAAAGTGCTTGAGGACTGAGCTCAGACTCTCCCCCTTCCCCCCGCTCCTGTGTGAAAGCTGTCAAGTAGTGCATGTCTGTTGTCCCAGAGCTGAAGCCAGGCAGTTTCTGCAGCACACCAGTGGGCCTTACCAGTCATGAATACCAGCTTCACCAAAAGACCCTCTTGTTTATTGTTTCTTTGTTTGGTTTTTTAGACAGGGTATCTGTGAATTCAGTCTGATCTACAAAGCCAGCTCAAGACAGGAAAGGCTATACAGAAAAACTCTGTCTCAGAAAGAAAGAAAAGAAAAAAAAATCCCAAGGTGGATGGAGATTGAGGAAGACATCCAGGGTCATCCTCTGCCTCCACATGCACACATTTCCACTCAAATGAGTGGCGGAGGAGAAGGAGGAAGTGGGTGTGGTGGTTCAAGCTTGTAATCCTAGCACTCTGAAAGCTAGGGCTGAGGCAGGGGAATAGCTGTAGTTTGAGCTCAGCCTAGGATACAGTATGAGACCCTGTCTAAAGAAGAAAGGAAAGAAAAGAAAGAAATCTTTTTCTCCTTTAAAAAAACTATATATATTCTTCTTTTAGATATTTGAAGTGAATGCCTCTTCCCAGCGAAGTGGTAGGCAAATCTTGTCTCAGCTGAAGGAAGCTACCCAGTCCCATCAAGTAGATAAACAAGGTGTAAACTCACAAAAACCCTGTTTCTTTAATAACTACAGCATTGGCAAGTCACCAAGTAAGTAACCTACTCCGTTGAGCTATAGTAACATTTTGGAAAAAAAAAAATCTGAGAGAATAGTTCTCATCTGCATCTGCCATTTGCTTTTTATCTTTTCCTGCACATAAACACGCTTTTGTTCCCCAGGCTGTTTTGAAGTTATAAATCCAAAGGCCATAAACTAAATATCAAGACCATTCTTACGTTTCTAAATATTAAGGGCTTTAAAAAAAGCATAACAAAAGTATAATGAAACCTAACAAAATGAGGTTTGTTCCTTGCTAAAAACAGTCTGATTTCAGTTTTCTGTGATTTTTGTATGCTTTTAATGATTTATTTATTTTTATGTGCACTGGTGTTTTGCTTGCATGTATGTCTGGTAAGGGTGTCAGATCCCCTAGAACTGGAGTTACAGACAGACAGTTAATGTTACTGTGTAGCCATTAGTCATCTTTGTCTAACAGAAGATGCTTCTCTGCTTACTGATGAGTCATCTATTTCTCAGTCTTTCCTCTTTGCATTTCAATTTGAATAGTTACTGCTCTATACCAAGTTTGTGATGTGTCCTGCAGCATCTAAGATGCTCTCAGTGCTGTCCAGCATAGTTCTTATTTTCAAAAGGTTCATGTGAGTCTTTTGTTATCCTCTGTGTTTCCAGTTCTCATATGCCCGATTTTTCTGTAGATATTTGGTTATATGGAATATGGTTTTAGCTGTTCTTGTCCATATTTCTGTCACCTGTATAATTTCCAAGTTAGTTTCAAGCTTTCTCTGTCTTACTTATGGGTTATATTCTTCTGCTTCTTTAGATGTCTGAAGTGCAAGTTTGTGTGCGTGCATGTGTGTGTGTGTGAGTGTTTGAGCTTATGTGCACCATGTGCATGCAGAACCTGCAGAGGTCAGGGGTGTTTGATCCCCAGAACTGGAGTTACAGGCAGCAGTAAGCTGGCTGATGTGGGTACTAAAAACTGATCCTGGGTTCTCTAAAAAACTATGTAAGTTCTCCTAATTACTGAGCCATCTCTCCAGCCCTAAAGTCTGTTCCTTTTAATTGCCTGTCAGACTTTGTACCATTTATCTAGTTAGATGGTGGGTATTTCTGTCTACTATAATTATTTTTGACCTTTGTTCTGAGTTGGTTTCATGTCTCTTATGTTATATTAGGCAAGATCATAGCAGCATTTAGACCTGGGCTAATCCACTCCTTTACATAGTACTACTTCTGATCACCCTTGATAGTCTCCCATTAGCGATGATGTTTGTTGATCTGTGAAAAGAATTAATTAAGGTGGCACTTGCTTTTAATCCCAGCACTTGGGAGGCAGATGGATCTTTATGAGTTTGAGGCAAGCTTGGTTTACATGCTGAGTTCTAGGCCATCCAGGGCTACATAGTGAGACCCGATCTCTAAAACAAACAAGCAAACAAAAACAAGAGAAGGATGAATTTACCATTTATAGATTTCTGTGTGTCTCAGGATTTGTTTCCTGTGGCCCTTCCCTCATGAGTACTTAATTTTAGATCTGGCAGAGGAGGGTTCTGCAGATTTCATAGCACTCTGCATAGCTGTCTTAATTTCTGTATTCTCTCTTATGCGATATGTCTGCCTTGATTTCCTCATTTTCTGCCGTAATCTTCTTGATTTAGGAGAATTTGGACTGGTTTTCCTTTCCCGCTGTAGCTTAGGTATTCTCTCAAGGCAGTAACCTGGGTGGTCTTCATGGTTTGCTGCAACTGTCTTGTCCCTTAGTGACTACTGTCCTATGTTGGATGGTAACTAAAAACTTGAAAAATGTTTCATATAGTATGTCAGTTTTTTATTGTTACTGTTTTAGATGGAGAAGGAAATTCAGTCACAGATCTCTTATCTTGCCTAGAAGCAGAATCACATCTTTTTCCTCTGGTGTTTATATATTTGTTTTTGGCTGTCAAGGAACTGTTTCTGTTGGTCTGTGTCCTTTTGATATGGCCTCAGGAATTATTGGATCTCCTTGCTTTCTGGCGTACCAGCTAGCCCTATTCAAACAGTTGGCTGGCCGTGATTCTTTTCTGGGAAAGGTTTTGGAATTTTTTTTTTAATTTCAATTTTCGAATCGTGAAATTAAAGGTAACATAATGCCAGGTATGGTAGTTCACACCTGAAATATGAACATATGAGCATATAGGAGACTGAGATGGAGAGCTGCCATGAGTTCAAAGCTAGCCTTGGTTGCAAAGTGAGAAAAGTCTCATAAAAAACAAAGAAGCAGACAGACAGCTCAGTTGATAGAACGCTTTGCCTAGAATACAGTGGCCCCGATGGTGCATGCCTCTGATCCCAGCACAGCAGCTCAAGGTTATCTGTGGCTCTATATCCAGTTCAAGGTCAGTCTGGATTACATGAGACCCTATCTAAGGAAAAAAAAAAAAAAAACTAGTATATTATTTTCAAAACTAGTAATCCTTTCTTGTAGTGAGAATTATGGGATTTTGGTTTCTTTAAAGAACACTGAAATATAAGAATATGTTTTCATTTTAATCTCAGGTGTAGGAATATGGGGCTGCTTTGCAGCAGCAACTGACTGTGATTTCCCTCATGCTCTAGCAGAGGCGTGGCTTTGCCATCTGTAAATAGTTTTTGTGAGACTGTGATGTTTGAAATTCTGGGAATTTTTCAAGAGTTTATAAAAGCTAGAGCCCCGATAGATGGGGCTGGTGGTGATTGTCACTCCGGGGTTGGTTATGGTTTGTTTGTAATCATGCTCAAAGAAGAAGCAAGAATAAATAAATTAAATCCAGAGTTCTCTCTCCCCCACCCCCATCTGTTCTCTCTTATCTAGTGATAAGGTGGGAAAAAGAACCCAGAAAGTAGTAAAAATGCAGCTACACTTTGTTATGTCAAAACTAGAAAAGTAAGAACAAAGTAGTACTTCTGCTGGTATTCAATATATATAAATGTTTAACTAAGATTTTACATCTCTTACTGTTATTTGAATGTCCTATTTAAAAAAAATTAGATTATTTTATATGAATGTATTGCTTGCATGTGTGTATGTGTACCATTTGTGTGCCTAGGTCCCACAGATAGCAGAAGGCATTGGATCCCCTAGTTGTGAGCTATCTGAGTGCTGGGAATTGAATGTGGGTCTTTTGCATAAGCAATAGGTGTTCTTAACTCTGAGCGTTCTCTCCAGGTACACAATGGCCTGTTTTGTTTTGTTTTTTAATAAAACTGTAGTATAATAACCTTTTTAAACTTGAAATTCTCATTCTGTTTAGTAAACACCACCAATATTCAAGTGCTAGAATAAGATCCATAAATACAGAGCAGATAAAACTTAACGGGCTCAGTTATGGAATTTTGTAACTAGGATGGTAACTATAGAAGATACTGCTTTTTGTGTAATTAAGACATGTAAGGGCTAAGACAAGGATGGAAGTTCTGGGGGAAAACCTCATACTGCAGGGGAGCAGAAATCACCCCTTTATGTTTTGACCTTGTATTCATCCTCCAGAACATCTTTGGAAATACACACTACTTGCTTGTAATAAGGATGTAATAGAGCCCAATACGTGCCAATACCAATTTTTCTCCAGTATCTTCTGATTTATTTCAAGCATCTATACCAAAAATAACTAGAGTAATTATGAAGGTTATTGCAAAATCATGTATTTATGCTAGGTGTTTGCATACCTATAATCCCTCTACTCAGAAGGCAGAAGAGGATCACCAAGTCCAGCCTGGCTCCAGGGATGCAACTGACTGGGGTGGAGAGGGAGTAAAGAAAAATTAAAAAAACAGACACAGAGAAAAGCGGGGATCAGGTGGCTGGACTCTGTAATAGGGAAACCCCAACTTCTCAAAAGCTCATCGTGTTTATTAAACACAGTTGAACAGAAAGGCTGGGTTATTGCATACAGCTGCAAAGAGAGATGGGGCTATTAAATACAGATAAAGGAGGCAAGGCTTATGTAGACAGCTGCAAAAGGAGATGGGGCTATTATGTGCAGATAAACAAGGAAGCAGGGTTAGCTCATCCAGGCAGGAGCAGACTTAGGCTGTAAACTTGGGGAGTGGGAGGTCATGATGGACTTTTTCTACACATACTACCAACACGTATACATGGACGAGAAGAAAGCTTTGCCATCACGCTGAACCCAAGGGAGTGGGTGCCACTGTGCCATGGGTCTGAGGCCTGGGGTCATTAACATGTCTATGCTCATGTCAACAATCCACATTTACTCAGGGCTCCATTTACTCACAACTTCTACACCCCACGGAGGATCAAAAGCTTGAGTCCTGTCTGAGTACCATAGAAAGACCTTTTTAAACAGTCAGTTAAAGAAAAGTGTGTAGCTTTGGAAATACAACTAGCTGCTTTGTCCTGTCATTCTGTTAGAATAAATACAATAGTACAATAATATCTATATATTGAGTATTTGCATAAAAAAATGAAAGAAAATGTCTGCCTTTGGTTTTTATCATGTAAGAATAGAAATGCACTGTGGATAACTTTATGTGGCCATCAGTGTAATTTTAGAATGTTCTTAAATGCAGTTTGTTTTTCATAGAAAAGTTAAACTCCCCTGGGAAAGTTGTTACATCACCAAGGAAGCTTCCTCCATCATCACCAAAAAGAAGTGGACAGAAGCGAGCACTTCCTCCTAAAACTTTGGCAAATTACTTTAAAGTGTCCTCCAAATCTAAAAATAATGAAGAAGGCGGAGGACTGACGGGAAATAGTAAAGGTAAAGCATTAAGTTAAGAAAGTAAGTTAGAGTTGGATGCGGTGGTGCATGCCTGTGATCCCAGCACTCTGGGAGGCAGAGGCAAATGGATCTCTGTGAGTTCAAGGCCAGCCTGGTCTACAAAGTTGAATCCAGGACAGCCATGGCTACACAGAATAACCCTGTCTCGAAAAAACCAAAACCAAACAAACAAAAGTGAATTAGCTTTGATGTATAAATCTATAAATGTATTTCATGTGCTCCTGAGCTATTTATTAAGCCTCAAACATGCTAATTGTCCTAGATATAGAAGCATCACTATTGAGTAAAATTTGATATGAGAGTTCAGTTTGTAAGTGTGTATCTAGTGTGTTATTAAAAGTGAGTTTTCCCAGGTGTGGTGGTGCATGCCTTTAATCCCAGCACTCTGGAGGCAGAGACAGGTAGGTCTCTATGAATTTAAGGCCAACCTGATCTACATAATAAGACAGTATCTTAAAACAAACAAACAAACAAAAAAAGTGAGTTTTGCCTAAAATATTGACATTGTATTTATGCAGGAATCAAAAATTCTTCTTTGGAACAAAGGCAATTTATTCAGACTAAATCAACAAATGCAAATAATTCAAATATTAAAGATTTTGGAGCTGAAGAACCCAACAGAAAGAACACAACATCTCTCATTCTCTTTGAGGAGGTAGGCTTGCAGAGGCACACATTGTAGGAACATTATTTTCTTATAAGGAATTATAAAATAACTAAGAAATACTTAACTTAAAAATACTTAACTTTTATAAAGCGTGGTAACTAAAAAAACATTCTTTGTATTATTTAATTTTATGTATGTGGATGTTATGCTGCCTGTATGTCTGTGCACCATGTGTGTTCACTCCCCATAGAGGCCAGGGAGGGTGTTAGATCTCCTAGTACTAGGGTTACAGATGGTTTTGAGCTGCCTTAACAAGGCTGGGAAGCATCAGGTCCTCAGCAAAGAGCAACCAGTGCTCCTAACCACTAAGCTATCTTTCTAGCCCTGACTAGAATAATTTTAAGATGATTAACATAATTCAAGGATACTGGTTATTAACAACTATAGAAATTATTATGACTCATATCTGCCCAGTTTTTTGTGATTGTGTTTTAGTTTTAATGTTTACTATGTAACCATCTTAAAGGTTCTTTTTGGTGTAAGACAAACTTTTTCCAGGCAGTAGTGGCACACTCCTTTAATCCCAGTACTCAGGAGGCAGATCAAGCGGATGTCTGAGTTCAAGGCCAGCTGGTCTTCATAGTGAGTTCCAGGACAGCCAGGGCTACACAGTAAAACCCTGTTTCAACAAAATAAAACAAAATTATCAGTGTTGACTTTGACGTAGTATATCTGTAACTGATCTGAGTGAATGTATTGTTACTCTCACTTTATTAATATTCTAATAAATGATTTGTAGGTTGATGTCATTTTTGAAGAAGATGTTGGGTTTTTGAATGCAGTCAAAACATTCATGGCTACAACCAAACGACCCGTAATTCTTACTACAAGTGGTATGTAAAAATAATTTTGGTACAATTTATTGTTGAAACATTTTAGGAGAGCTACTGAGTAGAAAGGGTGTGGGTTGGAGAGATGGCTCAGCAGGTAAAGCCCTGTCAGACAAATCTGTTGACCTGAGTTCTGCCTGAAAGGCACATAAAGGTGGAAGGAGAGAACCAGTTCTACAGGGTTGACCTACTTCTCAATGCTTATGTGTACACACCCCCCACACTCAGACATCTTGCACACAGAACACACATACTAATAAGTAACATTTTAAAACAAATGGGGATACTGTAAAGATATCTCAGTCAGGTGGTGGTAGCATGTGCCTTTAATCCCGGCACTTGTGAGTTCCAGGACAGCCTAAAGTACACAGAGAAACCTTGTCTTGAAAAACAGAACATCTTTTCTTGTTTCTTTGTCATACCTACAATTAGACAACCAACAAAGCGCCCACGTGGGTGCTACTGTGTGTGTGTGTGTTCTCTCTCTCTCTCTCTCTCTTTCTCTGTGTGTTTATGTGTGTTTAATCTTACTCTTTAGCCAGGCTACCTTAAAGCTCAGAGATATCCTTCCTCATCCTACAATTACAGATCCTTAATAATTAAATTTTGCTCTTTGCCATCCCATGATAAAACCTCAAGGAGATTTGTTGCATATTTAGTTAAAGTAGCCATCGTCAACGTCACAGAATTCTATCTACCTTCTTGGGGTTTTGGCTTTAAAAATCCATTTAGGTTTTTATTGTTATTTGAGATGATTTAGAACTCTCAATTTTCTTTGCTCAGACTGCTGTGGGCCAACATACTTAGCCTATAGTTTTTTTTAATGTTTTTATTATATTATCTATTATGTGTGTTCACACACGTGTGCCATAACACATGTGTTACAGAGCATATGTGGAGATAGAGGACAACTTCTGGTAACTGGTTTTCTTCTTCCATCAGGTAGGTCCTGGGGTGGAGCTCAGGCCATCAGACTTGGTAGCAGACAACTCACCCTTGTAAGCCACTCCTGAAAGAAAACATTTTTAGATGGTAACAGATGCCTACAATCCCATCACTTGGGAGCTTTATGAAGGAGGATTAAGCACTACACATAACCAGACCTTGTCATAAAAACACACAAACGAAAACTGAATTTGCAGATATTCAGAAGGCTAGCTCTGCTGTGGAGGTATTGGGAAAGTTTGTTTGCTGGCTGTTACCCTCCATGTCTTCTTTCTTGGTTTATTGCTGGGCATGCTCTTCACCAATTACCTCCCCAGTCCTTCAATTACTTAAAAATATGAAAATCTTAATAATCATAGGTTAGGTGATAGCTTAATTAAAAGGTTCTTATTACTTTAGATCAAAATAGAAAGTTCCTTAAGGAATTCTAATTTGCATAATATCATAGTCTTCTTTTATCCATGAGGGATACTTCCCAGACCTTCCCAATGGATGCTTGAAATTTCAAATAGTGTCAAAATGCTTATATACCTTTTCCCTAAACACACATATTTAGAATCCTAGTAACCTAGTTATAGTAGGAACTTAACAAATAATTACCAAGAGAACAGTTAAAACGCTTTTTAACAATTATAAATGTAAGGAACTGGAGAGGTGGCCCAGTAGTTAGAGCCCTTGTTGCTCTTAGAGAGGATAAGTATTTACTCTACATGGTGTAAGAATTACATATAACTGGGATCGGGATGTAAAGTGAATAAATTATACAAAATAAAAAAATTGTAAAAAAAAATTAAAACTATAACTGGGAAAAGTTATTTAGTGGTCTCATGTTTTTTAAAAACATATTGTTTCCTATAGATCCCACATTTAGTTTAGTGTTCGATGGCTGCTTTGAGGAAATCAATTTCAATATTCCTTCCCTGGTAAGTTTTGAATTTTCATGATCAAAGATTATATGTTTCACAATTCTGTAAAAGACATCTTTTAAATTAAATGTATAGTTTTAAAATGACGTTTTTTAAAGGGAAATGTTAAAGCTTCTGAGTTTTAGGAAACTTACGATTGTCTCCTTTTTTGCTTTAAAATAGTTATTTTTCAGAAATTTAAGTTTTATGTGTACCGTAATATTACTTTTTGTTTTCCTTTGAGACTTTCTCACCAAGTAGCATTGGTTGGTATAGAACTTTCTTGGTAGATCTGGTAGGCTTTGAATTTACAGAAATCCACCTATCTCTGCTTCCTAAATGCTGAGACTTTAGCCTAGCTCTTTCTATTTTTATTTTTCTGTTTTTTGAGAGAGGGTCTCTCTGTATCACCCTGGAGTCCTGAAACTCACTATATAGACCGGGCTGACCTCAAGCTCAGAGATCTGAGCTTTCCAACAGCTGGGATTAAAGGCATGCATCACCACACCCAGCTTCATTCTATTTTTAAATACTTTATTAGAGTTTGCACTTTTCTGTGAGCTGATATTTGTGAGAAGCCAATGTAATTATAATTCACATCTGAATACAAATCTGCCTCTTTCCTTGTTAAGGTCCAAAGTATGTATTCCTCATGACCACAGGGTTGTTGTGAGGATTTTATAACCAAGAACAGGGCGGATACTTAAAAATTTCCAAGTTCATGGTGTTAACGTTGTTAGTGATTATGGGTGGCTTGTTTTGGTTTGGTGTAGCCCTGGCTGTCCTGGACTCTCTGTAGACCAGGCTGCTCTTGAACTCACATGCCTGCCTCTCTGCATCCCTGAGTGCTGGGATTACAGGCTTGTGCCACTGTGCTGGCTGTGGGTGTTTTTTGTTTGTTTATTGCTTGGTGCCTGTGGAAGTTAGAAGAGGATATTGGACCCGCTATAACTGGAGTTACAGATGGGAGGCACCATGAGGGTACTAGGAACTATACCTGGTCCTCTTCTTCTCTCGCACCTCCCCTCCTTTTCTTTAACTAGGTATTGAGGTGTACATCTTTAATCCCAGCACTTTGATTGATTGATTGATTGATTGATTGATTGATTCTGTGTGTGTATGTGGTTGCATATGTGACTTGACAGATGTGTAGAGTCAGAACAGCTTTCAGGAGCTGAGTCTCCTTCCAGCATGTTGGTTCTGGGGATTGAATCCACACTGTCAGATTTGTTATCCGGAACCTTTAGCTGCTGAGCTATCTTTATAGTACCCGTGGCTGTCCTTGGCTTTTTGTTGCTACCTTATTTTACTCTACACAGGTTTGTATATGTTGTAGCATTTGTGTTGGGTTCAAATTCAGAATGTAGCTGAAGGTGACCTTGAACACCTGATCCTCCTGTTTCCTTCTCCCAAAAGCTAGTTCTCAATCTGTGATTGCTGACATATGCCACCAATACCACATCTGGTTCTTTTCCACTTCTTTCTAATGCCGTATTCACTGATGAGGATTTCAGTGCTGCACGAACTTGGGGTGTTGACAGTGGACAATCCTAGCTGTTTATAGATGAGATTATAGACAGGAAGTGATCTTTACAGTATTACTGTTGGCAACAAAGTTAGCTATAGGTTTGTTTTTTGTTTTGTTTTGTTTTTTTGTACAGTTTTTGGGTAGGATTAAGGATATTTTCTACTAATCTAATTTTAAAAGTATTTTTTATAAAAAAATAATAAGAGCTGGGTGCGATGGCACATGCCTGTAATCCCAGCACTGGGGAGGCAGGGGCAGGTGGATCTCAGAGTTCAAGGCCAGCCTGGTCTACAAAGCATGCCCAAGATAGCCAGGGCTACACAGAAAAACCCTGTCTTGAAAAATCAAAATGAATGAATGAATGAATGAATAAAATATATTGCTTAAGTTCTATTTTTCTATTTTTTCTGTTACTCTTGAATAGTGCACTGATTGCATGTGGCAAAGGTTTCATCCTGTATAATACATACACATGCATGCTGCATTCACACACATACGTAAATATACAAACATGCTTACAACACACAGATATATACATACACAAATCCACAGATGGTAGGAAATGCTTTATTATCTCAGCACTTAGTAGACTGAGGTAGAAGGGTTACCAGTTTAAGGCTAGATAAGGTTGCATACCAGCCTGCCTCCAGCTTTGTCCCAAGAAAGGAAAGAGCAACTGGGCGGTGTTTTTTATCTCAGCACTAGGGAGGCAGAGACAGGTGAATCTTTGTGTTTGAGGCCAGCCTGGTGTACAGAGTGAGTTCCAGGACAGCCAGGGCTATACAGAGAAACCCTGTCTCAAAAAAAACTAAACCAAACCAAAACAAAGCGGTACTAGAATTCTGATAAAATAAAAGGTTACTATGCACTAGATTAAACTTTATACAATTTTCTGATTTTGATTTTAGAATTAGAAAAGAATGTTTCAGTATTGCTATCATATTTATAATATTTTAATGGCTATAAATAACCTGTCAAACAGCCAGGGATAATGGTGCATACCTTTAATCCCAGTGCTCAGGGGACAGTACCAGGTGGATCTTTGTGAGTTCAAAGCCAGGCTTGGTCTACAAAGTGAGTTTCATGACAACCCATGTTATGTAGAGAGACCCTGTCTCAAAATTAAGAAAAAAGAAAATTGAAAAAAAAATTCTATCAAGTGTACCATTACTTAATCTAGTTCTATAAAACTTCCTGTAATGTTCAAATTAAAGAATTTTATATATTTCCCTGCAAGACTGAATGTGGTACACAGCTGTAATACTAGCATCTAAGAGGCAAGGAAGTTCCTGAGTTTGAGGCCAGCCTGAGCTGTGTTGTAAGAACCTACTTAAAACAACAGCACACACACATACACACATACAAACTGGTATACGGGAGCATGGGAGGTGGAGGCAGGAGAATCAGAGGCCAGCTTGGGTTGCAAAAGAGTCTGTCTTAAATACACTAACACATTTTTGTTGTTGTTGTCCTGGAGTATTTACAACAAACTCAAGAATAAGTAAATGACTTTAATTTTGTGGTACATGTTCTTGTATTTTTTTAGAGAAATTTCATTCTCAAATGGTTTTCAGATATTATGGCCTTTAGCAAAATTCTTCATTGATATTCAAGTTTATTACTACATTTCTGCCTATTATGCAATTAACCATGTGTTTTCTCTCTGCCATATCTTGCCTTGTTTTTCTATTTTAAGCGAAACACTGCCAGCTACTTACAAATGATTTGTTTAGTTGAGAATTTCAGAACCGACTTAAAAGACTTTGTAACCTTGTTGACTGCAAATGCTTGTGACATCAGAAAGAGTATCCTTTACTTACAGTTTTGGATTAGAAGTGGAGGTGGGAGTTTAGAAGAAAGGCCATTGTTACATTGCGGTAAGTAGACTGTCAAAGTTTTCTATTATGGGACTGTATTCTTAAATATATACTCTATCAAAATATTTCTAAAATTATAAATTGTCTAGGTATGCTGTTTAAAAACTACTTACACATATATCTACCTTTTTGTTTTGTTTTATTGGTTTTTGTTTTTCAAGGCAGGGTTTCTTTGTGTAGCCCTGGCTGTACTGGAACTCGATTTATAGATGAGGCTGCCTCAAACTCAGGGATCCTCCTGCCTCTGCCTGCCAAGTGCAAGGATTACAGGCATGTGCCACCACTGACCTGCTTACGTCTACTTTTTAATAAAGGTTTTAAGCCTAAGTAAACAGGTGTGGTGGTGGACACCTATAATTCCAGCAATCTAGAAGCAGAGGTAGGCAGATCAGAACTTCAAGGCCGTATTTGCCTACACAGTGAGCTCAAGGCCAGCCAGGGCTACAAAACACCTTCTCTCAAAATACAAAACAACAAAAAAAGTGCAAATAGATTTAACTCAAAAAAATAAAGGAGGGGCAGGTTGGTTTGTTTGTTTTACCAGTATGGTGGTACATGTCTGTAATCCCAGTTCTGTAGTCTTTCATACAAGGTAAAAAAAAAAAAAAAAAAAAAAAGAAAAGAAAAAGAAAAGAAAAATACCCCATACATACAATCCGTAGATTTCCTATTATACTTCTCAAGCTCCGAGGAGCTTCTGAAGTAAACCTGGGATGAGTTCAGGCAGTACTTGGGGGATGGAAGTCAGAGGATCCAGAGTTCAGCCTTAGCTCCACAGCAAGTTTAAGGTAGCCTGGAGTGCATGAGATTCCATCTCAGAAACAGCAAAACAAACACTCCAAACTATTGTTTATACACGTACAGATGTAAAAAGAACTTTAATTTACCAGGTTCAGTTGTTGTCTCCAAGGCTTATCGCCTCCATCTGCTAACCTAGGTGTAGTCCTAGAAGATTCTAGCCCCCTTACAGTCTAACCTAGGCCTATGAAGTTTTCAGCCTTTGAGACTTACTGCTGAATAAGCTCACTTTTCTTGTTCTTACTGAGCTCTTCGCTTTCAACTCAGCTTTTCTGTCTCAAACTCTTCTCCTAGCTGACTTATTCAATCTTGCCTTTCTCTCGTCCCCTGATTTGTTCTGCTTGGCTTCAAACTAACTCCAGCAATATTTTTGATCTCCTCCTCACTCTGGCTCATTCAGTCTTCACCTGAGCTCTGTCTCTGCAACCTGTCTCTGTAACTATACAGGAAAACTGCCTCTTCTCGCTCTGCATTGTTCTTACCTAGCTTCCCTTTCTCTCTCTTCTCATGAGAGTTGGGCATATCCAATTCTGTCAAATCTTCTCTGATTTGTTATCTTTTCTGCCACTCAGTTATTATTACTTTCAAACATGGGTGCTCCCTTCTACAAACTAACTATACCTTTATTGTTTGGGATTGAAGGCATGTACCTAAGCTTTTCTTTGCCGGGAATTTGCTCTATACCAGGCTGGCCTTGAACTGAGATCTGTTTCCCTCTGTCTCCTGGATTAAGGGGGTGTTTGTATTCCAGCCACATTATACAGACCTGTAAGACCTTTGGATGTGGTCTCTCTCCAGAACAGCTATGTTCTGAATTAAACTTCCTCTACATGTGGACATACAGTTTCTTACAGAATTATAGTTCCCACTTTGCCTTATAAAAAACAAGTATGTCAGGTGTGGTGGCATACTTCTGCAATCCTGACACTTGGGAGAGGAAGCAGGTAGATCAAGAGGCAAAGGTTATCCTTGGCCACATTGAGTTTAGCCTGAACTACAGGAGATCCTGCCTTGACCAAAGCAAGCAGAACATATCAGTGTTCCTTCTGTCAGTAGAGCTGTAGCTCATTCTTTTATCTGATGTGTTTAAGTATAAGTTCCTGGGGTGCCGGGCACAGTGTCGCACACCTGTAATCCAAGCAGAGAGGAAGGCAGAGACAGGTGAATCTCTGTGAGTTCGAGGCCATCCTGGTTTACAAAATGAGTCCAGGATAACCAAGGCTACAGAGAGAAACCTTACCTCAAGAAGAAGAAGAAGGAAAAAAAAAAAAGGAAGGAAGAAAGAAAAAAAGAATAAAACAAAATAGCCCTGGGGATAAACAACAAATAATAATAATAAATCAATTATAGGTGGGCTTGAATCATTTCACTTGGTATTTTTCAAATGAATTCCATTTTGTTGGTGATGAAGTGAATACACTGGAGAACAAAATCAGAAGGTTTGGGCTTGTGCTTTGTGGTTTCTTTTCATACACATTTCACTTAAAATTCATTAACCTAAGACTTGTTTTTATTAATTTTTTAGGAGAAAATAGCAGAAATGTACTGGTTTGCTCCGCAGATGGTTCTAATGCAAAAATTAACTCTAAACAAAACAAAAGGAACCGTGTAACCCTCCCTGGATGTGACACTGGCTGTGCAGAGGCTTTGTTTGGACTCAGGAACATTGCCTCTCCAGGTCAAGGCTTATTTTCACTGTTAAAGGTATTTTCCGTGTCTGTGAAATGTTGAATTCATGTTCTGTCCATCTTCACAGTATATACCCTGTGTTGTGAATCTTAGTTCAACTTAAAATTTACCTAACAAAGTTTCTATTGACTTTCTATTTTAACTCATTTGACTGTTGACAGATGGTGCATAGGCACTGATTTAAAAGCTCAGTATAGGACTCAGGTTAAATTTAGGCCAGGTGGTGATGTCGTACACCTTTAGTCCCAGTGCTTGGGAGGTGGATCTCTGAGTTTGAGGCCAGCCTGGTCTACAGAGTGAGTTCCAGGACAGCCAGGGCTACATAGAGAAACTCTTGTCTTGAAAACCCTAAAGAATTTTAAAACTCTTAAAATAAAAAGCTCTTTTTGGGGCTGGAGAGATGGCTCAGTGGTTAAGAGCACCGTCTGTTCTTCCAAAGGACCCAGGTTCAATCCCCAGCAACCACAGGGCAGCTCACAACTGTCTGTAATGCTGATTTCAAAGAGATCTGACACCTTCATGGTCATGGAGATGGCTCGGCAGTAAAGGTACTTGCAATCCAAGCCTTGTGACCTTATCAGTTCGATCCCCGAGACCCACATGGTAGGAGAGAATTGGCTTCCACAAGTTGTTCTCTGATCGCCGTGTGTCCTGAGCCACCCCCCTCAAAAAAGACAGAAAAGAAAGTCATCTATCTGCAAGATAGAGACCCATACAGACAAGTCTGTATTCATTCATAAGGGGGGGAAGCTGTCTAAACTAGGTACCCTTAAAACATCTCTTTGCTCAAAATTGCTTTTCAGCACAAGAACACAGAAAAGGAGGAATGGCATAAATTCATCCAGCTTCTCACAGAATTCCACATGCAAGACATAGATCTGTTATACAGCAATCTAGAGTTCATCCTGCCATTGCCAGTTAATGTCCTTCCACAAGCGAGAGATGCTTGTGGCTTCCCGGTGGCTGTGGAGGCCAGTGCACCAGGAAGCATGAAGTACCTTACCAGGAAGCAGTCAGAAGAGCAGACATTGACAAAATCACAGAAAAAGAAACAGAAAAAGATGGTGACCCTAGATGACAGTGATTTGTTTGACACTGGAGTGGACTTTTCTGATGAACTGACTAGCTTATCTTCCTCAACTGTAGAAGATGACGTCACAAGCAGAGACAGAGAAGACAACCCAGAGACGAAGACACAGAACAATGGTTTCGGGTCTGACTCTGTTCCTGGACCTCCCAAGACACCAGCGGAGAAGATGAGTTCTGTGCTCATTTCCCAATGTTTAAATTCTCTCACTGAGTTCATGGAGAACATGTCCTTCTTAGATGCCCATTTAACAAATTCAGGGGAACAGAATGAATTGGGTAAAAATGCCTTTCACTGGACAAGTGGAAAGGTTAAAAGCGGACTTTGTGATGAATTTAGTCTTGAAAGTAGAGAAGGGAGGGCTCCTCAGAACTCTGAAGAATTAAAAGCAACTGCAGAAGCTCTCAGTTTTACTAAATGTTCTTCTACCATTTCAAAAGCACTGGAGTCCTTGAATTCATGCAAGGAATTAGGAAGAGACCCAACCAATGAGCTCACTCTCTGTGTTTCACAAAAGTGCCACGATGTATGCTTCTACCAATCGGCAGCTAATCTAGAGTAAGTCTGATTTGCTAACTTCTGTTTTTCAGTAATCAGTGACAGTGGTTCTTCTTGCTGCTTTTAAAGGGCTGAGCTATTGCTCATGGAAAATACTTAGTGGAGATTGTTGGGAAAGCTAGCTTGAATGAACACTGGGAAACTGAGTGTGGTGGCCTACGCCTTTACTCCCAACACTCAAGAGGAAGAGGCAGGTGGACTTCTGAGTTTAAGGACACCCTGGTTTACAGAATGAGTTCCAGGACAGCCAAGGCTACACAAAGAAACTCTGTCGCAAAAAAAAAAAAAGAAAAGAAAAAAAAAAGAAATTTGGAAACCTTTATGCAATAGAGAGGTTGTTCAGACTTGTGACAGGTAAAGGTGGCCATTAAGGTGTCTCACTCGGACACTAGGCATGGTGACATATGCTTGTCATCACAGCACTTGAGAGGTAGAGGCAGGAGGATCCAGAGTTTGAGGCCAGCCTGAGCTACATGAGATCCTGTCTCTAAACAAAAGTTTTCAGTGAAGCTGAGTGTGTGGTGCAAGACTGTAATCCCAGCACTCAGGAGACTGAGTTTGAAGTCAGCCTGAGCTATGTAGCGTTCGAGGCCACTCTGGGTTTATGAGAGTGACTGATCTGTTGACAGGAAATGACAAATGTCATGTGATCTAGACCACAGGCAGAGACACTGGGTATGTTTGCAGTTTTTACACTGTTATATAAAAATAACAAAATAATACTTGCTTTTCATTTGTAGCAGTGCTGACAGGAGGATGGCAGTCATTAAAAGCGTGTTTTCCAGTCGTTCTCTTCTAAACCTGGGTAATAAGCCGGCTGGCATAATTGACTACCTACCAACTCTCCGGAACATTTGTCGGACAGAGAAGCTAAAACAACAAGGGAAAAACAGAAGAAGGTAAGATCTGTTGAAAAAAGTAATATTTCAGATAGCCATGTCAGGCTTAATAAATGTGCTCATGGGAATGAAAATAATAATACTAATTTTTTTTTTTTATTTTGACAGGTTTCTGCACTATTTTGAAGGAATTCATTTGGATATTCCTGAAGAGACTCTAACTACTTTGGCAGCTGACTTCCCTTGACACTTCCCCCTCATCAGTGTCTTGTACAGATTATGTAGTCCTTATGACATATTTTAGATTATGTTGACTCTAAAGAAGAGCTTATTTCTCTTAATGTAAATTATAAAAGACTTTGTATTTTTGTGGTTCAGTTATTTAAAATGAAAAATTTTAGTTACAAACTGTATATATGATTGTGGCATATTTTTTATGAATGTTTTGGATTCTGTTTTTGCTTTGTTGGTATGCTTTCCATATGTGTGAATTGTTTGTAGAAGGTAATGTTCACTGAGAGATTTTTGAAGCTGTCTCAGCGCTGAGCTCACCCGTCACTTCCCTTTCCTTGTATTCTTCCTCTACTATCTAGCATCAGAGCTGTGCCACCATAGGAAGCACCTAGCTGCCAGTCACGTAAAACAGATTCATACGGAATATTTTTCAAATGTCCTAGGAAGGAAATTGTGCATCAGTTTTGGAAAGCATCGCACTTCCTCTTGCCTTTATTTCTTGTACCTTCCTCCAGCATATTTTACTATTTAATCATTGAGTCATTGGTGTGGCAATGACTGAATTCCAGTTTTCATAAAGTTTATCACCTGGGTAGTTAAAGTCTCTTGCATTTTGCCAGCTCAAACCATTTGTACATTTTCTGGTCCTTTTATGTTATGTTTTATTTCATAAATGTAATGACATTAGTTAATCTGTTTCAGACAAGTTGTTGATGGTTGGTGTAATCATGAAGGATCCTACCACTGGGTTTTTAACTTCACAGCTGTTTCCATTTAAATAGGATTTGGGGGTTTTGTGGTCCTGAGACTTGAACTTGGAGTCTTTTGTGTTGTAGGCAAGGGTCCTATGTCTTAGTACATACACACTCGTAATTATTTGCAGTACTACAAATCAAACCCAAGCCTTGTGCATTCTAGGGTCTCGATTAACCACTGCACTAGAACCCCACCTTGTTTTTGAGACAGGGTCTGGTTATATTGCTTAGGCTGCCCCTAAACTCCTTCCAGACGTACATGATCCTCCTGTCTCGGCTTCTCAAGTACCTGGGATCACAGGCATATCTGCTACACGAAGTGTGGGCTTGTTCTGCTGTTCTTCTTTAAGGATCTATTTTTTACTCTAGTAGCAAAATTTTAAAATGTTACATTTGCCAGGCACAGTATCACACGCCTTTAATCCCAGCACTCGGGAGGCAGAGGCAGGCCGATCTCCGACTTGAAGCCATCCTGGTCTCCAAAGTGAGTCCAGGACAGCCAGGGCTGCACAGAGAAACTGTCTTGGGGGGGAAAAAAGCCACATTTTAGTTAATGTTATTTTACAGTCAAATAATTAGGTATGTTTAAAATTCTTTCAATTGCAAATATTTGTATAAATAATGTAATATTCAGGCACATTTTTTAATGAATTGTATTTTTAACTCAAAAATTAAGGATCCTAGTTTTGTACTTTTTAAATGTATAGGTGCATATCTGTTTACAAATGTGTATGAAGATGTTTTTAACCTCTTGTTCAACCTACCTTTTCTTGTATTAGCAAATTGATCTAATTAAAAATTAAAGCTAAAGACTTTATGTGGTATTTAAAATAGTTTAAGTTATGAACATCTTTTTTTTTTTTTTTTGTTTTGGTTTTGGTTTTTTGAGACAGAGCTTCTCTGTCCTGGACTCCTTTGTAGACCAGGTTGGCCTCGAACTCAGAGATCCACCTGCCTCTGTCAGAGTGCTGGGATTACAGGCATGCACCACATCCAGCAGTTATGAACATCTTAATGAACACATATATTAAATACAATCAGATAAATGCTACAACTTAGAGATTTCTTTGCTGAACAAATGAAAATATAGTCAAAGCTTTTTTAAAAGATTTGGTTTTTTATGTGTATGAATGTTTTCCCACATGTATGTATATGTACCACATTCTTGCATCACCAGAGGAGGCCAGAAGAGTGTTGGATACCCTGGAACTGGAGTTAGGGATTGTTATGAACTGCCTACCTTGTCGGAGCTGGGAACTCTACCCCAGACCCCTGCAAAGGCAGCAAGTGCTCTTAACTACTGAGCCATCTTTCCAGCTCCTGAAGGTTTTAAGTGTATCTGTGTTTCATTGCTACTGTAGCTGCTCAGCTGTCTCATTTTTAGGGACTCTGATCATTCTCACCAACTGCTGAACCAATGGAAAATAAGTCCACAAAACGGTTCAAGTTGTTAAAACATGATAACATGGAAGGTGGGGGTGATTTTTAGTTTGATAGAAAATTTTTCCTTATTACTAGGTGTTAAACCTAGGCAACCAGTTTATCACTAAGCTACAACCCCAACCTGTTTTTAGGATATTTCCCCCTTTTTGGTGGGAGGTGGGTAATGGGACAGAATCTCACTATATTCCCAAATTGACATCACACAATCTTACTGATTCTGTGTCCTGAGTATAGAGATTACAGGTAGAGCCATCAGCCCAGCTAGCTCTTCTTTTTTTTTTTTTTTTTTTTTTTTGGCTACACAGGGTTTTCCTGTGTAGCCTTGGCTGTCATGGACTTGCTTTGTAGACTAGGCTGGTCTTAAACTCACAGATCATATCTGCCTGTCTGCTTCCCTGAGTGCTGGGAATACAGAAGTGTGTCACCACACCTGGCCCTCTTACTAGTTTTCATTTTTATTTTTTTTTTTAGGGGAGGGTTTGAGACAGGGTCTCTGTGTAGCTTTGGCTATTCTGGAACTCACTCTGTAGCCCAGGCTGATCTTGAACTCCAGATCCACTTGCTCCTACCTCTCAAGTGCTGGGATTAAAGGTGTGCACCATCACTGCCCAGATCTTAAATTTGCTTTTTAAATGGTTAATTTTTATTTTTCTATGTATATGTTTCCTGTGTGTGTCTTCAGGAGCCCAAATACACCAAAAAAAGATTGTCAGATCCTTTGAAATTGAAGTTATAGGCAATTGTAAGCACCTACAATGGGGACTAAGAACTGAGCTGGACTAAGAACTGAAAAAACAGCAAATATTATTAATGGATATTATTAACTCTCCAGCCTGGTCCTTGTTTTGAAATGGAGGTCATTTTGGCTGTGTGGGCAACAACTTGCTTTTTAGCACTTACACACAGAAGGCACAGAATTTCATAAAATATTTATTGATTTGGTTTTGGCTTGTGCACACTATTTTACAGCCAAAAGTCTTGACTTTATAAACATGGAAAATATACTCAAGATGTTTTCTTCTCCACTAACATGGAGGATGGGAATAGTTGGTTTAATAAATTAATAAAACACTAGGTGAGTGCATTAACATCTGAGCGTGAAGCCTCTGCCAAAAACTAACTCGTAAAAAGCAACAGCTTGTAACAATGAATCATAGAACTCTTCAATCCGGTGTGAGTCCTTCAGAATCTTCTGTCTGTATTGCACTATGTGCTCCCGTGGGAAGAGCACCCGAGGCCGGTCCTTCAGCACGGACTCGGAGAGGAGCTTCTTCACTAGCTCCCTCCCACTAGTCCTCGTGTCGCCAATCATTAGGTCAAAGTGCTTGCCCACAGCGTTTCGACTGATGCTCAGCACCCGATGCTGGCCATCCTCAGCAAAAGTTCTGTTGAGTAAGGCATATAGCATGGCTTCCGTGATAAGGAAGTGTAACAGTATAGGAAACAGAGATGTGTTCTGAATGGAAAGTCCTGATTTTTCCAAAATGTAGAGATCTGCTTGAGGCATCTTTGAAATGACTGAAGAAATCTTTAAAAAAAAAAAAAAATCAGAAATAATTTATTATGTTTCATGTTTGTCCCAATGCTGACAATTCTGAAATAACTAAAAAGCTTCTTGGAAAGAAGCTTAAGATGAGCTGGTTGGTCCTGACAGTCTCTTCATTTCTAAAATCTGTACTGACTTCAAGACTCAGCAACTCAAAACTATTCTTAACCATTTAAAATGTTCCAAGGTGAAACAGAGGGTTGGCTGGAATAGGCTGGTGCTGGCCAAAGCCTCTTAGCATCATGCATTCACCAAGACAGCAATTTCTATTCACTTCCTATCTTGAAGACTGACAGGAGACAAAAGATCATATTTAAAGACAAGGTTTCTGCTTCGGGCAGTGGCGCATGCCTCTAATCCCAGCACCCAGGAAGGCAGAGACAGGTGGATTTCTGTGAGTTTGTGGCTAGCCTGGTCTACAAAGTGAGTCCAGGTCAGCAAATGCTACAAGGAGAAACCCTGTCTCAAACAACAACAAAAAGACAAGGTTTCTAATTTTTTAATCCAATATAATAAAGCTATATAGGATAGGAGTAAAAAGGTACCCAAAGACCCAGCTTCACTATTTTATCCCTTTAGGTACTGCTAGACTAAGCTGTGCAAGGAACCAGGTACAAATCCACAAAACAGACCAGCAAGAGCAGGGACCAGCAACTGCCTTACCTCTTCCAGATAAAAGGATGATGGGTATGTTTTGTTCGTTAATTTCCAACACTCAGCCTGCTGCCAGTCCAGCACTGTCAGCTTCCGGTCAAGGTGAGCCCAAGCAATTCTTCGAGTACCAAAAACAATAGATACGATACTATTAACTGCCTAAAGGGAAAGGGCTGATTTGATTACAAGTGTAAATATCCTACAGCTATAAAACCTACAAACTCAAAATGCCTAACAAGTTTATGTGATCAAAGTTTATTTATAAGCTTGGTGTGGTGGCCCTGTCTTGAGGGGAAGAAAAAAAAATGTCACTCTACTAGCAAGTATTCTAAAACCAGGCCAGGGGGTGGGGTGGAGTTCAAGATAGGGTTTCTCCTGGACATTAATCTGTGTGCTACCACTGCCCAGCTCGTTATTTTGTGTATATGTGTGTGTGTCATTCCTTGGCACCCCTTGCTGGACTGTGACCTGTAAAATAAAATGAACCTTTACCTCCCCAAGTTGCTTTGGGTCATGGTGTTTTATCTCAGCAACAGAAAGCAAAGACACCTGTCTCAAAACACCAGGGTGGGGCCTGCAAGATTGCTCGGTGCCATCACTCTGACTGGCAACCTTAGTCTGTAAGCCACATGGTGGAAGGAGCCACTTGATTCTACCCCAGTTGTCCTCTGACTTCCACTGTGAAAGGGACACATAAATAAAAATGCAATTAAAAAAAAAAAAAAAAAAAAAAGCAGCGGGCAGTGGTGGCATTCGCTTTTAATCCCAGCCCTCAGGAGACAGAGGCAGGCGGATCTCTGTGAGTTTGAGGCCAGCCTGGTCTACAGAGTAAGTTCCAGGACAGCCAGGGCTACACAGAGAAACCCTGTCTTGATAAACAACACAAAAACCAAATAAATCACAAGACAGCAGCAGAGGAGAAACACCTGAAGCCCTCCTTGGCACATGTGTGCCCTGTAAACATATGCACATACAGAAAAAATAAGTGGGGTGTCAAGATGGTTTAGTGGGAAAAGCTGCTTTCCACCAAGCTGACAACCTGAATTCAATCCCTGGGACCCACAAGGTGGAAAGAAAAAACTAACTCCAAACACCCCCCCAACATACATACATCAGTATTGTACAAGTGTGTGTGCATGGAAAGGCGTGTGCCACTACACTCAACATAGAACACAACTTTAAGTCCTGCTGGAATGACTGCCCTAATGTAGACGGCAGTCTACATACATACATACATGATGTACAATCACTCCTTAGCCAACCCATATTTGCAACTTCATTTCCCAGTGTACCCTGACATAGCTGCACATCTGTGTGACAGTTCTCCTAAATAAACCTTGCATGACATGCACCCCTGCTAATCCCAGCATGAGGGGGCCAGTGACTGGTGGCGCATGCCTGTAATCCCAGCACTTGGGAGGCAGAGGCAGGTGATATCTGTGACTTCCAGGCCAGCCTGGTACACAAATGGAGTACGGGTCAGCCAAGGCTACAAAGAGCAATACTTTTCTAAAAACAAAAGAAAACAAACAAACAAACTCAGGAGGTAAAAGTGCTTGCCACCAAGGCCGATAACCTCAGTTCTATCTCTGAGGCAACCACACACAAGCAGTAACAAGTAAAAGTAACTAAAATAAAAAAATAAACCTTGTGTAGACATACTTCTTGTCATTCACGTTTTCTATCCAGAATGCCCTCGCCTTTCTGCCAGCCTAATTTTCTCTCTTCACGTTGAGTTTTTTGGTAAACTTTCCTCAAGTTCTTCCTCGTAGCATTCCGCCTATCCTCTCACTTGCCAACTGTGAGTAACCATTCATTCTGTGCAACAGATTATCCAACTAAAGCTGAAGGGACCTTGTTTTGGGCAGTGAGATGACAGAGGGTTACAGCAATGACACCTGGCCTGGCAAGAACCCACACCGCAGGCAGAAGGAAAGAACTGACTCTTGAAAGAAGTCCTCTGACCACACACAAATATAAGAACAAACAAACAAACAAAACAAGAGAACCTCATCTCCAACCCACTACTGGGAATGGTACTTTCCGGAGTTAAGTTCTCATGGGGTAATTAGTCAGGGGGAGAAAGTACCTTAAGTCTCTCTTTCTCTACATCGGGTTTAATGTACTTTTTCAGCAGCCACGTTCCCGGTGAGTTTTTTTTTCTTCCACTCTCTGGGCAAAGGATGGAGTTACAAACTTGAACAGCAGTTTTATATTGGATCAAGGGCACATCTATCAACCTCTCCAAACTCTCAAATGGCCCAAACTTCTTTCTGTGTTCTACAATATTGACGGACTTTCTTCCTCGAAGCAAACTGAAAGCTTCCAGCTCTTTAGTAGAAGCTGTATTCAGCACATTCAAAATAGCAGCTTGCTGTTCCGGGGAGAAGAGCTTGTCCAGTACATTCCCAGGCTCCTTTCCATTTGTGTCACAAACAGCAACACTAGCATCCATTTTCTCAGGTGCAGATGATTTTCTCCGAGAGCAGATATTATTCAGGCCTGGGGGCAGGAATGAGTACTCTGGGACTGGAAACCATTTCCACCTCCCTAAAAGAGAAATTTAGAGAATTTAAATTGGGATGTTCTCCTTTCATTTTGAGTTAATTCTCAAGCTTGTGCAGTCATATAGACTTGCACATAAACCACATTATCACAGAGAATTGTCTTCAAAAGGAGTTAAGCACACCTTTAATTCCCACTGGGGAGGCAGGAGCGCCTCTGAGTTCAAGGGCAGCCTGGTCTACAGAGAAGGCTCAGAGACAACCAGGACTACACAGTGAAACACTGTCTCAAGGAATAAGTTGTAGCTGCCTGGCACTGTAACTTCATACTATAATCTCAGCAACTGAGAGGCAGAAGTGGAGAATCAGATTCCAGGCAAGATCCCATGAGTCTGGGCTACATGAGACCCTGTCTGCAAAAAATTAATTAATAATTAAAATAAATAAATTGTACTTTGTCAGGGCTAGTAGAGGCCACCTTTAGTCCAAGCATTTGGAAGCAAAGACAGTCAGATCTCTGTGAGATCATGACCAGCCTGATCTACACAGGATGGTTAGGGCTACACAGTGAGACTGTCTGAAAAAGTAAAAACAAACGAACGAAAAGTTGGGAAGGACCAGGGTCAGCGGGTCGGGCCTAGTTTCTAACAAGTCAGTGGTTTCTATCCCTAACAACACTTAATTAATTCAGGTATTAAATGTCAGGTATTTATGGCACTTGTAATATTAAGAGGATTTTTGGTAACATATTTTAAAATTTACCTCCACTTCCATTTTCACTAGTTTCTCATCTGATGGTACCTAAAAACTACATTTAATACGTTTATAATAAATTGTCAGGAGTGGTAGTCCTCCCTTGTAATCCTAGCAGTTGGGAGGTGGAAGCAGGAAGATCAGGATTTAGGGTCGCATTCAGGTAGAGTGCCAGGCCAACTTGGGCAACACGGAGCTTTGACCGCGGCGGTCGGGGGCTGGTGGTTATTAACCGAGTGGAGGAGAGTTTATTTCGTTCTGCACGGTTCTCAATACTTCTAACGGGGCTGTGTTTTGCATGCAAAGGATAACTTTGTAAGCAGTGGAGAGGCACTCTGACATCGCAGCCAGAGGCAAGCGAGCGTCTGAATCCCCCGGCCGCAGCACGGCCGGGAAGAGGGGAGCGCGGACGCGGGCCCACAGAAGCGCACGCGCATCGACGCTGCGGGACAGGAACGCTCCACGCCGGACGCGGGACAGGAGAGAAACACTCCGGGTCACAGGCTAATGGCAGGTAGGAAATCAACCTCGCGCTCAGAAACCCTACCTCCGGCCTTGACGAGGCACGCGAGGTTCGTCCTCCAAGCCATTGCCAGGCTCGCTCACGCCTGTCTTCCTCCACCGACTTCCGGTTTTGTGTGTTCCACTTAAAAGTGCTCGGCCGGGTCTGGGCAGAAGGGTTCCGGAGAAAGAGACGGTCCGAGGCCCAGCCTCCGATGGATTACCCAGAATTCTAGTGATTGATGGCCGACGGTCTCCAGACGACGCGCGGGTGACATCTCCGAGACGGAAAGCACGAGATCGCGTTTAGTTCTGTTCCGGGGCGAGACTTCTCTGGGTTCCCAGACACACGAAGACAGCAGACAGTGGGGACCTTGCAAGCACACAGATAGCCCTGTCCTGGCTTGAGAGGCGTAACCAGGAGAGAGATGCATGGCAAAGGGAAAGGGGCCACATAGGAGATCGCTTTGACACCGGGCACCTTTTGCTGTTTGAAAAGAATGGAGGGAGGTGAGCCTGGAGCCACATTTGACCCTTGGAATGCAGAATGGAACCGCTGAAAAAGTCCGGCAGGTCGCTTGTTTTTCTGTTGCAAAGTCAGATTGGAAGACAGTGGGACAGGGGACTTTATTAACCTCCCTCCCCCTCTTCTATTTTTAGGTTTCTCTGTGTAGCCCTGGCTGTCCTGAAACTCACGCAGTAGACCACGCTGGCCTCGAACTCACTGAGATTCCCCTCCCTCTGCCTCCCCAGCGCTGGGATTAAAGGCGTACCCGGCTACCTTTGCTTTTTTAAAGGTAGCCAGGAAAGAGGGAAGTTAATGAGTTTGTATTTATATTAGACATGGTAACTTAACCTATTACGCTGCACTTACAAGTATGAGAATCGCTGTGAGTTTCAGTCCATCCTGGGCTGTATAGATTAGAAAGTGAGACCCTGTCTCAAAAGACATCAGCAACAGACATTATTCACGGGCTCAGCAGTTAAGAGTACTTGTTGCTCTAGCAGAGGACCTGGCTTTGGTTCACAGCAGACCCTTGACAGCTCACAACCATCTATAGTTCCAGTTCCAGGTTATCAACATCCTCTTCTGATCTCCACAGGTGCCAGGCGCATTCCTGATACACAGACTACGTGTAGTCAAAGCACATACACATAAAGGAAATCCGTCTAAAATAAAAATTAATCCCAAGAGAGGCAGGGTTGGTGGCTCCTTCCTGCAACCGAGCATGAGATCCACGTCAGCCTGGGCTCCGTAACAAGAGGTTATCTACAACAACAACGAAAGGACAGGTCGGGACTCTCATGGCAATTCTAAGAATCGTAATGAAGTCTCCGTAATTTAAGGATCTAACCGAAATAAAGTCAGCTTCTTTATGAAAAGTCTTCGAAATGTTTTAAAACACAACGTTTTTTTAAAAAGAATTGTTTCATGTGTGAGTGTCATAGAAATGACGCTGCTGAAATGAACCATGGGAAATGCATTCTCTCACGGCTCAGGCATCTAGAAACCTGCAGTCACAATGTCAGTGGGGTTGGTTCCCTCTGAGGACTCTGCAGGAAATCTCTCTCTGACCTTCAGGCACTGCCTTCCTCCACATAGAGTTGTCTCACTCCGTCGTCATTAGGCATGCACAGGGACAGACCCATGAGGACAGCAGTCATGAATGCTGGAATGACTTCCCCGCCCCTCCCCCCCCCAGATAGGATTTCTCCGTGTAGCCCTGTCTGTCCTGGACTCTCTTTGTAGACCAGGCTAGCCTCGAACTCACAGGCTATCATTTCACTTTTTAATTTTTAAATTAAAAAAAAAAAAAAAAAAAAAAAAAAAAAAAAAAAAAAAGGCTGGCACAGCAGCTCACTGAGCAAAAAGTCTTGCCAGCCCCCAAGCCTGGTAACCTGAATTTTATCCTTGGGACTCAAATGGTAGCAGGTGAGAACCAGGTCTAGTAAATTGTCATCAGACCACCACACATGTATGTACTCATGTGCACACCCCAGTCACAGATAAGTAAATGAATTTTGAAATGTAAAACTTCAAAGTGGCCGGGCTTGGTGGTACACGCCTGTGATCCCAGCACTCTGGGAGGCAGAGGCAGGCGGATCTCTGTGAGTATTTCCAAGTAAGTACTGGAGAGGTGGTTCAGCAGTTAAAAGGCAGAACTGCTCTTGCAGAGGACTTGAGTTTTGTCACCAGCATCCACGGCACATCAGGGGACTCCCAGCCCGCTGTGACTCTAACTTCAAGGGCCTTCTGACCTCAGACACCCAACCTCTGCATTCATAGGCACACTCAACACACACATACACACACGTACATAATTTTAAAAGAATTTTTTAAAACAAATCTTTTTTTTTTAAAGCTTCTAGCCTAGGAAAAAATGACTGCCTTTCCACGCCAGCACTTACTCTACTTAATGAGGTGTTATGATTGACTTACATCCTTCAAAAAAGAAATATTAAAACCTTAACTCCTAGTACCTCAGAATGCAATTGGATTATTTGGAAATCAGGTCACTGTGGATGTCATTTAGTTAAAATGAGGTGGAGGCCGGGCTGTGAACAGCTCTTGCTCGGCACCCCTGAGGCTCTGGATGTAAGCCCCAGCACAGCACAATCAAACGAGTGAAATGGCCAAGTGACCTGGGCCATGGCCCCAGTTAGTCGGGTGGCTGAGGTGAGAGGATCACCTGAGCCAGTTGTTCAGGGGATCCTATCTCAAAACACCTCCTCCCCGCAAAATGAGCTCACACTGGACTGGAGCAGGGGCAATTCCAGCATTACTGCTGTCCTTAAGAGATGTCTCTGTGAATGCCTAGTGACAATGGAGTGACACATCTGTATGTGGAGGAAGATAGTGCCTGAAGGTCAGGGAGAGGCATGCAGCCTACTTCCTGCAGAGTCCTCAGAAGGAACCAACCCCATGGACATTCTGAACTGAGGGAATACTTTTCCCGTGGTTCGTTTCAGCAGCTCTGTGGCACTCACAGAGGAAACAATGACCTAGGAGTTCTGGCAGTACTCTTGAGAGATGGTGCTGTTTAGCAAAATGCCACTTAGTGTTTGCTAACTGCCGGGGTAGAGAGTTCCCTCTCTGAGCCTCGGGTTCCTCATTTGTGAATGGAGACTGTACCTGCCTCCCAGTACTGAATGCAGAGGACACATGTAACCCAGGCTCAGGGAATGGTAGTTTTCCCATCACAGCATCATCTGTTCTTAGAACTAATGATTAATAGCTTTGAGAGGAAATGTCCTCAGCAGTCTCCTTTCACAACGTACTTTGACCAGAGACTGGAGGTGGCAGGCAAAGAGACAGCTTAGTACTCATGATTCAATGCAAGCCAGAGCCAGGGTGTTCAAAATGAAAGTGGTCATCTTCCTCCTGACTTCAGCTTCTTCTCATTTCCCTGTTTTTATTTCCAGATAAATGTCCTTAAGACAAATTAATTTTGTTTGTAGGAATATTAAAAATCAGTTCTCTATAGTCAGATATGGTGGTGCACACCTATAACCTTAGCACTCAGCAGGCTAAGGTAGGAGGACTGTGAGGTCAAGACCATCTTGGCCTAATGATAAGACCCTGGCTGGGGTGTGTGTAGCTCTCATCTAACACAATGAGGCTCTGGATTCAAGTCCCAGCACTACACAATCAAAAGAGTGAAAATGTCAAATGACCTGGCCCCAGGTCTACAAAAAGAAAAACCAAACAGGGCTGGCAGGATGGTTCAGCAGGTAAAGGCACTTGCTGCTAATTCTGATGACCTGTGTTCATTCCTTAGAATCCATGTGGTAGACTTGACTCCTACAAGTTATTCTCTGACCTCCACACATACACACAGTGTGTGTGGTTGTGTGTG